GGTTGATTTGCATGAGCTACATGTAGATAAGGAATAGTTCCACAATTGGACGCTAGAGTCGTCACAATAATGTGAAGTCACTAACCATACAGTGTGTAGATGTGCCAGTTCATACAACGAAAGTGGCGCCAGCTGAGTTTTTAGAGTACGTGTGAAGTGAATCTAATTGAAGAAGAAGAAAAAAATTTTAAAAATATGGTAGAGGCGCCACTAGCGACTTTGAGAGGAATCTCTAGACTGCAGCTGTTCGGCGCTGTATTTAATATTTCTAGTTTTAAGAAAATGAAAAAAACGGAAATGAAAGTGATTGGCACAAGTGTGGAGTTGTGGGCCTCTGCTGCTGCTGCAGTGGCGCAGACGCTGAAAGTTGTATAATTATGCAATCCGCGTCGCAGTTCGTTTGCATGTTCCAGTCAATTGGCAGGCGTGACTGCAGTTGACCGACTGACTGAAGCCAGACCCCATCCCCATCCCATCCCCCATTCGCTCACTCGCTCAAAGTTTGCTGCAGACGGTTAGCAGCTAATCGAAGTGCAGGTCGTTCGAAGATCTCGCCCCGGAGTGACAGATTTCCTGGTTATCTCCCTAGTCGCAGCGGAGGGCTCTCTGGGTCAGCGAACTTGGAAGGGAACCAGTTTTGCCCCGTCTGCATTTCCTCGACAGTAAGCTGACTGTAAGCGACCCCAGGCGCCAATGCGTCTCATTATACGATCGTTAAATGATTTGTTGGTATTCGCTGGCCATATTAACGAGGTGCTATGGATGACCATTTGCTTGGGGCAACGATAGACAAATGTCTATGCAAATGTCACTTGGTTGTGACTTTATAGCAAAGACATAACTCATGCAGCTGTGGGCTTTGTTATGGACACAAATTGCATGAGAGGTTCGTGCCCAGAGTCTTTTGTGTTACCGCCGATTGGGGCCAACCCAACCGTTGCGTATGACCTTCAGTGGGAAATTGCTTTTGATGCGCGTATAATGAAATCATAAATTTCGATCAACTTCGGAGATCTGTATCGGCAGTTTCAGGGAAATGGGAAATTCGGAAACTGTAGCAAGGCTGGGGCAAGTGCCCAAACTGGCGCGCCACAGCCATATATGGATGTGCAGCGGCAACAACAACAAGAGCAACGTGCGTGAGTTTGTCAACGTCCAGCTTCATCGGTTGCATTTGTTTATTTTTTGGTGGACAAGCAGGAAGCAATGCCAATCGGAAGTAAAAGGCTGAACAGTCCAAAAAGGTGTCGTTCATTGGCATTTTGTGAGCATGTGAGAGTGTGTGTGGGCCATGCCACGCCCATCACTGACGAGCTGACGGAGTTATGTGAGCACAACCCACACAATCTGGCGATAGCACTGCCAATCTTTTGGCCATTCAAATCAGGCAACATCAGGCGAAAGAGACGGAGGTAGGGAGAGAGGTAGGAAATGCATGCCAAATGCTGCTCTAATTTTCATGCCGGAACCAATTGCACACGCGGAGCAACCACCATAAGCACTCCCTTATAGCTGCCACCGGCTATGGCAGCTAAACGCTCCGCACACATTGACCGATTACCGCCAGCGATAAGATGAATAATCATGAGAGATATAAATAAATAAATAAATAAACACACACACAAGTCCCACATCTCCTCCGACAGCAAATGGCTGCGGCACGAACGACGTGGGGAATTGTAAAAGTGGTCCAACATCGGCGGCAGCTCAGACTAGAGCGAGGCAGCAAGGGGAATGCATGGGACACGAGCAGCGTAGGACATGGCAGTCGAACCGAAAGGCAGACAGGGGCCATGGGCAAGTGGTTACGCATTTCATTTGGTCCATTCGATGCACTCCAGTTAACGGCTCGGACTGCACTTCCTGGAGCAGGCTGTCGATTGGGGGGCAGCTTCATCTATCTGGATTTGATGAATATTAATATGACTGGAGTTGGGCGCTTGGTGTGAATCCCGTTTGGCACTTCCTTATGGCCCGGGGGAGGCTGGAACTGCCTGTCAGAGGAAATGGGAATAGATGGCAGGCCATTAAGGGAGAGCCAGAGAGCGCTCCTACAGACTGGTATATGTATTAATATCTATCCCCTTTCGTTCCGCAATATAATCGATACTAACATGGTTATGCAACTCTCCCCAGTGGTTGTCGTGGACTTCCCACTAAGTGAAACGGAACCAGACCGCGCACGCACCTGGAACAGCTCCATAAGCTGGCGGACAGGTGGACCTGGGCTCCCGTTCCACCTACGAGAGCTTGGGAGAAGAGAGTGAATGAACAACAGATAAAATTAATATTAAATCAACATGCAATTAACTTGCTTTTTGGCCAAATGAATCGAACCATTTAAAGAGGTATTCCGCATGTCTGCGGTTTCGACTTTGACTGCTTTGCTTTGACTGGGATCCGCTCCCATTGCTATGTTGCAGGAAATGAAATGGAAAGCAGACATATGAAATGAGATATGAGAAATGCTCGCAATGTTCGGAGTCAAGTTTTGTGTTTCTATTGTCTTTAATTGAAGCGGCGATTCGGCCAAGTGTTGGCCAAGGGGCTTGCCTTGCCACATTGTTGCACACGAAGAAATGCAATAGGGGGGCCATAGGTATGGGCATAGGCATAGGCACGTCGCCGAGCATTGCCCTTAACCGAGTTTGGGGCGCTTCGGCAAAAGCCATCGAATTACATTAAAAACCATCTAATTAATGCGACACCACCTGGCATATCAAAACATCCCCCCCAGTCCCATATATCCACACCAAAACGTGACGACCTTCGGCTTTGGGCTATTGAACAATAAGAATTCCCAAAAATCCAAATCAAAACCGGCCCATCGCAATCTGCGCCCAGGAAGAGGGCCGGAAAGGGGCGCGGAAAGAGTGTGTTTTTTATTTGTTTTCTTTGATTTCCCATTGCGTGCTATTAATTTGCATTGGTTAAATGTGGCTACCTCTGCCGCGGTGGCCTGCCTTTATTTTTCAATTTTTTCGGCATTAAGATTTATAACATTTATGGCCATAAGCTTTTTGTGGCGATTACAACACTCGCACGAACCTCTCTACCTACATATATGCAGACGAAGTCATGTCCAAGATCAAATCAAGAGAGTTACAGCCAGGGAGAGAGAGAGAGACCGCGCAAGAGAGCGCAGCTTTGGGAAGCTCAGGTAAGCTCAGGTAAGCTGGGGCAAAAGCTCAGTTCGCCTCGTTATTGTTTACACACGAAACCGTTATCAGAATTCAAGGTCTTTTACTCTCGTTTTCACGCAGAGAGAGTGGAAGTGGAAGAGTGCAAGAGTCGGAGAGTGAGAGCATGCGTGTGCGTGTGTGTGTGGTGCTCTCATTACGCCGGCTGCACCTGCGCAGTGTGTATTTAATCGTAAGCCCGCAGTCTTCAGCACGTCAGTTGATTCCCGAAAGTGTCCAAGGCAGCGAGCTGCTCCGCCACCTAACCCAAGTGGTATATAGTGATCATCATAACCCTCTTTTACTCCGCGGTATAAGCAAGTGCCACAGATAGTGCTACATTTCGACCTTATCTCCAGTTGTATTCGGGAGCCATGAGGATCCAGCGGCATTTTGTGGTAATTACGAAAAACAACAGTGGAAAAGTGTCGTACGCAACGGAATGGGAGAAGACATTCAAAATGGGGGTGCGGTTGATGTTGTGGAACTAATAGTGGAGTCTCAGGTTAAGTCTGTAATTTGCAAATTATATTTGCATAGATTGCTCTTCCAGTGGAAATGGGAGGATCGTGGTTCAGTGAATTTCACTTCAAATATTGCTCAAGTTTCTTCTTGCTTTGGATTAAGAGATTTGGGAAGGATTAGGTAATCTTTTGGTGAATGAAAATACAAAAATAGATACAAGAAAGTGAAGATAGAAAACACCTTAGTCGTTTATCATTTCATAAAAATTAATATAGGGAATAAAGCGTACATTTTCATTTTCCATTCAGTTTTTGTAATATATAGATGCGTTAATATGTAGAAGAAATTATAATCAAAATTGTTGTTCACTATCCATCAAAGAAATACGCTTTCCTCCTGTCCTTGTCAATATCACGATTCATACAAATTGAGTTTTTCTTAGCCATGTCTGTCTCATTGCCACTTTGTCGCGCTTTGTCAACAATTTAAATCGCTTCGCGATCGTTTCATTAGCATCCATGGGATATCCATGAAGTGCACTACCTGGTGGGACGGAATGGCGATGGCAGCGAGAGAGTCGACGACTCTTTTCCCTCACGATTGATGATCCAACTGCAGGCCAAACAAGTCGTCGTTGTCGTCTCCATCGTCACTTTCTCTGGCCACCAGACCAGGGCGAGGAAGCTGACACGATCATCAGTGATCCGCTTACAATTATCACTATCAGAGCACGCCGATGAGATAATTTTTGCCGGCGCTAATTTTTATTTCATAATCGAATCTTGTTGACATTTGTGCGCCAATTGATGGGATTAGTTTCGGGATATTTTGAAATGAAATTATCCAAAATGAGAAGTTGTTTGCGAAATCCCGGTTGCGATTGGTGTGGCTGACCTTGTTTGATTCTCCAAATACAGACCTCTTGCAACATCTGCCCTGCCACAGCCGCAACAACGCCAACGCTGAAGCTGACTCATAAAACAACCAAATAAATGTTTATTTAACAAATACAATTAAATTTGCATAATAAAAAAAATTGACCAAAAAAAGAGGGGCCACACCAAAACAGAAAAAAAGTCGTTGCCCTGCCCCGTATGAGGCGTCGCATCTATCATAAGCCAGGTCTTGACCCAGGTCAGTATGAACCCATTGAATCTGCCGCCGCGAAGATTATGTAACGTTTCTCTGCCGGTGACTGACCAGACACTGACCCACTTTAAACTCGTTTTGGGACAGTCCAGTCACATTTCTTTTTGTTTGAAGAATATTGAATTAATTAACATAGCTGTTGCGAATACAGTTTACTCTCCGAAGTTTGTTTCAATGTCTCTCTATCTCCCTGTGTGTGTGTTTCAGCTTGGTCTTCTCGGTGCGCTCTCTGTGGCCATCGGTAGCAGCCTAGCCAAGGCTGTGGTGGATCAACAGGCAGCCGGCACTCAGTTGGCCAGCAAGAGCGTTGCTCAGAAGCGCTTCGACTTGGGGGGACTTAGCGATCATGTCATCGACGAGCATCACATAGAGGAGCACCACGAACACCATGAGCACCACGAACATCACCATGATCCCGGATATTGGAAGAAGAAGGTCACGTGGAAGGAGGGCTGGAAAAAGATTTGGAATCCAGCCAAGAAACAAATCTGGAATCCCTCATGGAAAAAGGTACGCCTCGAAACGGAATCAAATTTCATGTGAAACCGATATTGATCGAGTCCTTCTGCTGTAGATCTACAAGCCCCACTGGGTGAAAGTGCCCGGCTGGAAGGAGATTCAGGTACCAGCATGGAAACAAATTTGGGTACCCCACTGGAAGGAGATTTTAGTGCCAGCCTGGAAGGACATTCAAGTGCCCGACTACAAGCAGATCTGGACACCTGAGCTAGTGAAGGTACAAAGCCATTGCGCATGCCACACCTAATATCTGTTAAATGTTCCATTCCTCTTTCCCTCTTCAGGTTGGCATTCCCGGCGAGAAATATCTGGGCAAGGACCACGAGGGTTGGGAGTACACCAGTCACGATCTGTGGAAGAAGGTCAGTAGCAGGCAGCCTCCTTGTAATCATTTTGCAACAGTTGATACTCTTCTCATACAGAAAGTTGTGTGGAAGTCTCACTGGAAAAAGATTTGGAAGCCAGCCAAGAAGCAAATCTGGGTGCCCGACAAGAAGCTCGAATGGAAGGAGGGATGGAAGCAGTACTGGAAGCCAGGAAAGAAGGAAATTTGGACCGATAAATTGGTATGCAAATATCATACACAATAGTCCACCCGACATGAAAAATGAATCGCCTTTTTGTCATAGGAATGGAAGGAGGCATGGAAACAAATCTGGGTACCCGGCTGGAAGGAGATCTGGGTGCCTGGCTGGAAGAAGATCTGGAAGCCCGTGGTCATATCCGAGTGGTTCCCTTCGCCCGATCACCACCATGATCATCATCACCACGAGTCTGGCTGGGACTGGGACCGCAAGGATAACGGTGCCGCGCCTGCAGCTGTCGCACCCGCTGCCACTGCCGCCACTGCCAATGGCCAGGATAAGGTAGTGTGGAAACGCGATGACACCAATGCTTCCGCATTCGGAAAGCCAACGGTGCTGCAACCAGTGGCCAGTGCAGATTTCCAGGCCAAAGCTCTGGAGGCAGCGAAGTCGCCAGCTGCTGCTGGGCCTGCAGCCTCGGTGGCTGCCACCTCGCAATTCAAGTTTCCCGGTGCGTAGGCAGAGCATCAGTGCAGCCCCATTCGCCATTGCATCATTGCATCGCCGCCTGCACCTGCACCTGCAACTGCCCGTTCCAAGCTCCTTGTAAATAGTTACAAACCAGTCGCTAGCTCTTAAGGCCATCCATCCACTTCCATTTGCTTTGGCTCCACACTTTAAATTATCTCTAGACTTAAATGTTTAATTAACAACAACAAAGTGAATAAAAATACGAATTAAATAATAAATAAATAAAAGTAAAGCTAGGTTCAGTCTCTCAGTGGGCCCTTCAGTGCTCCCACTTCTCCTGCTCCCACTCGGTGGGTGCATTGGGCAGCGGCACCCATTCGTTGTGGACGGTCGGGGTCCACACCTTCTTCCACACAGGCTCGTAGATTTTCTTGGCCCGCCAATACTTCACCCAGCGGGCATTCCAAGTGGTTTTGTTCGCCCAGAAGCCGTCCGCCTGCGGATCCAGAGTGTCTGTGTGTCGCACGCTGTAAACGTGTCGTGTGTGTGGAGAGGATAGGTTGGTTGGTGAAAGTGGTCTAGTGGCTAGTGGTTACGCAATCGGCTCACATGGTGGTGGTCTTGCCGCCCAGGCAACAGCTGACGGCCAGGCACAAGAGCAGCAGCAGCATCGCAGTCAGTCGTCGAAGGGGGAAGGCTCCTTCTGTGATGATTGGACTTGGCATCCTGTCTCTGCTAGTCTCCCCTTTCATGTTTCGCAATCGAATGGCGGCTCAATTATCTCCACTCTTCATTTTATGTCTCTTAGCTCTGAGCGTTGGCCTGTCATGCTCTGTGCCCTAATTGAAATTCAGTGCGCCCGGGCCATAGCAGCCAGCACTACCACAGCAAACGAATGAATTGCAAATTCCCGCACTTGGCACGATCTGATTTGCGGGTGAAAATGATTGTAAATCCCAAAGCGATAGATACACTTATATAATGTGCAATTTCTCGGTTTGTTGGCAGCCCCCCTCTGCGGGGGCTGGTAGACTAACAAGATAGAGGAGACATTTATTATCTACGTATACCGATACGATCCACCAGAAATGTTCGAGGCTACAGCACTCTTAATTGCTTTTGTTGTTTCCTTTCTTTCTTAAGCCTAATGTAAAAACGTTGCAAATGAAATTCTGTGTGTGTGACAAAGCTAAGGAGTAACAAATTCATGAGTCCATCTCTTTGACAGTTCACAACAAATAGCATTATATTATATTAGATTCGTTTCGTTACGCACAATTCACGCAGAGTATTGTCTATAATATGCAATATATATACTATATAGTTTAATCGTAGGTATATGTGTGATTTGTGTCTACATGTTTAGAGTGCATTCAACTTAAGGCAGAGTTACAGATAAACTGATGGTTACAGCGATCGTACAGGTGGATGGTGTGATATAGTGATAGCGATAGCGATACTCATCTTAAAGCCTATAAGTTTCATATTGAAAGTTCGTTTGATTTTTGATTCATTGTTACAAAGCTAGGAGAAGCAATTCCAGTCTGCACTAATTTAGAAATAATATGGCACAATTAGCGCAAAATAGAGTTCAGTAAATTTCCAAGTATTTTACTTAATATTAAGGATACACACATACAAACAGTACGACAGTAATGACAGCACTGAAATGGGGTATTTAACGCATATTGTTTGATTGTTTGTCTGTTTGTGTGTTGATTCTCTGCTTCAATTCCATTCTCCACTTCGTTCTCTGCCGGTGTCAGTGTCAGTCTTTTGAAATACCATTTGAATCGATTCATCTCGATGCAGTTTGCAGTTTGCAATTTGTTCGTTCGTTGTGTTCTGGGAATGTTCTGTGGTTGGTTGTCTCGTGCGTGTGAGTGAGAGAGTGATTGCGGGTTTGAGTTGGTGGGTGGCTCTGGTTGCTCGATTGCTTGATTGTGTGGGCTGTGCACATATACAATGGCTAAGCTAACTTAACTAGGGTCTAAACAATGATGAGTACAATAGATTCGAGCTGTAGCTGTACATTTCTCCCGACAGGAGCAAGTGCTCACTCGAAGGACATCAGATTGGCTGGCAATGGCTTTGGCACACGCATCGTGGCCAGCTTGCAGATGGCGTTCGTCCAGAGATGCGTCATTTGCGGACTGTCGGTGCGAAACTTGTAGACGGTGCCCAGACTGCGGTGGTACAGCTCGAAGGTGTTCTTGTGCTTCATGTTGTCGCTGACGTGGGCATACCATCCCTCCAGGGGGCACACCTTGCAGGGCTCGCGCTTGAAGTCGTTCCGCTCGCTGCCCTTGAAGGACTTGGGCGGAAAGTAGACCAGAGAGTTGGCCCAGATTTTCAGCCAGTATCGCTGCCAGGAGGCCACCGCCGGTTTGCGCCCCTCCTTCTGAACGGTCTTCCGACGCACGCAGCCCTGCATGGCAGCTGCCGCCTCCGGTGACATCAGATCGCATTCGCTGCCCGTGAAGTCGCACAATATTCCCTCGGCGCTCTCCAGCGATGTGAGATCCGCATTGGACAGGGCATCGCTGTGTTCCAGCACCGAGTCGTCGAGCAGGTGGTGTCGCGGCAGTGCCCCCTGGTCGAGCTCCAAGTGCAGTTGATGCGGATGGCCATCGCCGTGGCTATGCGTCGCAATCTTTCCAAAGATGCTATGGGTAAAAGAATCGTTTTAGTTATGGTCTTGGTTCTTGGCTGGTGTTCGAGAGTTCTTCATGCATCTCAGCCTATGAGATTAGAAATGAATGTAAAGCAACAAAGGACGAACTGCGTATGTGTGCGTGTGTGGGTGGGGTGTGTGGGCAGAGTGTGGTTTTATGGTAAAACAGAAAAAAAACCAAAAGGGCATTGTGTGGGGCGTAGATCAGAGTGTGTTGTTGGTGGGGATGGTGTCTTTCATATGAAGCATTTTCAACTTGGGTCCGTGCACAAAACTGAACACACAAAACAACTCAAAAGCATACTAATATTGAAACGAAAGAAAAGTCTGCGTGGTGGGTTCTGGTTCGGCTACAGTATACGCCTATACAAGTGTATATCCTAGCTACAGGACTCACCCGCGGCATCTGCACCGCTTGTTGGAGATGGTGCCAATGCCCGGCGCAATCATCACAATGCAGCATTGACACTTTTGTGCAAAGTTACGCGGCAAGCTGCTGCTGCGAAATCTATGGCGCAGTGCATCATTTGAGAGGTTGCGGTTGCGGTTGCCGTTGCAGTTGCAGTTACAGATTTTGCGAGTACATTCATAATTACACAAATCACAAAACGAAAGCAGAAGCCAAAGCAAAACACAATCAAGTGAGAGAGACAGAGTAAACGAGAGACAGATTAACGATTAATAAAGACCCGGTGTATACAATGTCCAATTGGCGCAGTGATTTGAGTTGGTGGAGAGATTAGGTGGGAGAACGGAATGAACCGCATGGGGATCACACTTCGGTCATACTTACTTGGTGCCCAGGCTGCGGCACTTGCGATGACCGGGCACAAACTTGGTGCCGCTGGCCATGCGCATGGAGCCAATAGTTTTGGCAGGCGAGAGATTCAAACAGCCCAGGGCCGGTGTGACGGTTTCCACATTAAACGACTCCTTGGAGCTGCACGACGACGAGCTAGGCCCAGATGGCGATGCCGGTTCCAGATTCAGTGAACGTCTGAGTGTAGAACACAAGAATGTTATTTAAAAGGCATCGCATTTAATATCTAAATAGATTGATTTTACTTGTACTGATCCTCCTCGAATATGTTCTGCAGCTCCTCGATATATCGTATGGATGTGAGATACTTCTGCGTTGCCTCATGCGGCAGCAGCTGCTTGTAGTCCGACTGCTGATAGTTTGAAATGACACGGAGTATGTTGTTCATCTTGTTGCGACGCTGCTCGGGCTCCAGCCCGCCCTTGTGCGGGTGCGCCAGATCGATGTAGATCAAATCGGTGAGAAAGAGTCCCAGGTAGGGTATGCAGGGCAGGCGAAGGCTCTCCAGGTAGGCCCGTAGATTTGCCCAATTATTCTGATCGCTGAATATGTCGCTGAGCCGCTCGAACGACTGGCGATCCTTCTTGGACAGACACGCCCACGTCTTCTTCAGCCGATAGATGCTCGCGCTCTGCATGGCCGAGATAATGGCGAACAGCGAATGGAGATTGTTCAGCTCGTGCAGCTTCTTGGCCACCTAGAGGAGTCAAATGTGTGTGTTTTATTGGTTGAAGGATCTGTGCTCTCCCTCTCACATACCTTGATGAAATGCGTCATTATCTCCGCTCGCTGCTTGGGCTGTTCTGCGTTCAATATCTCTTGCACTGTCCAGAAGCTCGTGTGGTTGAAGCGCTTGGTGAATGCCACAATGTTCGGCGTGACCACATGCTTGTCCTTCTTTGTCCAGGCGCAGCTGCTCAGCTCATCCGGCTGAATCAGGGCGAAGACGGGAAAGTCCAGCAGCGTGATCTGGTTGGCCAGCACATCGGCTGGCACTCGCAAGGCGCTCATGATAACCGCATCCAGCTGTTTGATGGAGCCATGGGCCGGCAGGCTTTGCGACTTGGAGGGCGGTGCTGCCGAGGCTCTGGAATCGAGAAATGTCTGTGAAAAGTGAGTCAATTTGGTTGGGGCCGACCCAACTTACGCTATGCTGTAGTAGCATCCCGGCGAGTCTGGTGAGGACGAGAAACTGTTGAGGCATCCGATGGAGTTCTTGCGTCGCGTGCTCTTTATGTTCAGCGTTTTGCTAGCCTGCTGTTGCATCATCTGGGGCTCCATCTGGTGCTCCTTGTGGCTCTTCTCCTGCCGCAAGCAGGCCATGGTATGCGCATTCCCATTCGGACTCCGCTGCTTGGCTGCCGGGCGAGGCTGTTGCAGTTGCTGCATGGCTGAAGGAGTAGCAGGTGCGGTTGGACTCTGTTTGAACGGCACCTGCGTGGCATACGCCTGTCCGGCGTATCCATTATAGTCGTTTGTTGGTTTTCTGCTCAACTGAGGAAGTGGCAAACATTCATCAATATCGTTTTCAATGGGCAATCGAGTTGTGCTTACCTCCGAGTAGCGCAGATTCTCCATGGACAGGTCGCGGGAGATTTCCGAGTATCGCATCATGGCAACCAGCAGACGTGGGACTTGGACAGCACAAACAGACTGCAATAAAAACAAAGTAACTTGTCAGTATAAACTGATTGTGTTCGTTGGATTCACTTGTTATATCCCCTAGCAGAGGAGGGTATTATGATTTTAAATCGGATCCCCACTATATTAATTTGCCGCCACAACTACGACACTTCCACGATCGCTGTACATACAAATGGAATCGCTCTAAGTATCAGCTGCAATTGAAATTAACGATCTGCAAGGGTATGGACAGCTTCGTGCGACGCGACCGGTAGCCTTTCCTTCTATTCGCTTACTGAAACCGAAGTTTGTTTTGCTGTGGAACGGTGTTGTTCTGCCTTGTGGCTTTTGTGTTGCACGAACAGCGGAAAGGCGGCAGCTTCTGGCACGCTTCGCTGCCCAATTTCCAATGGAATGGAATGGGCTATGTGAGTCACGAGCACGGAGCGCGCGGAATCAATAGGAAGACCTGGACTGGCTTGGCCTGGTCCGCACTGCGTTGCTCTTTTATGGTAGCAGAGTCGTGTGGTCGACTGGCTTTTTGGGGGTGCAACAATATGATGCACACGCACACGCAAACACACACACACACTCGCACCACTGATAAAGGCTGTGGCTGCAACGGTCAGCGGAAAGTTTTGTCTTGTTTTGAAAAACAGAAACAAAAAAAAAACGAGTCACCAAAGCCAAAGCCCAAATTGGGTTTCAGCTTGGTTCAATGAACTCGTTTGAAATAAACCCAAAAATTAACTGTGGATCTACGAAGTATGCATGAATCGCCCCTCCCCGAATACCCTGCATTCTGTAGATTTCCGCTGAGAATTACAACAGATAGTTTGAGTTTAAATTCAATCTGCCCTGTACTGCCCTGCACTTGCAGTGTCTCTGTGTATGCTATGCCATTTCTATGCACATTTCTCCAAGCAAGAAGTCTGACTGAGACGACCCCGTCTAATTAATTTCAATTAAGTTATAATCATTTCAAAGAAAAGTTGATCAAATGCAATGACGTCCACACATAGGCCCCATTGGCATCGCCTTCGCCAGTGGCTGTCGCGGCTGTCACTGGGGGTCTGTGTCTGTGTCTGTGTCAGTGTCTGCGGTTCCTTCGATTATTTTGCGTTGCTCAGTGGAGCAAATGGAATCACCCGATTCAGATATGGCCGAGAAAATATGATTAAAGATGAGTGTGCAGGCACGGGTGCGGGGCATGCCACAGACAGACGATAACCAAAGACGGAAGAGGAAAAGTCATTTGGGAATGGGACTGACAGTCGCATTCCTGGCACTAAATTCTATTTCGCATTTCCTTCTATTCGAAGTGAGAGCAGAATTCCATTCTAATCATGCGAAATTCTCATCCTCCATGCCAATTCCATATGCTAGTACGATCGTACCCCCGAACCCCATTCAATTGCAACGCATATCCAAAAAAAATATACAATCAGATCTACGGCTAGTCGTTTGTGGAGGGATTTACTCGTATGTATGTAGATATGTAGATAAAATGAAAACAAATTTTGGGGGGGAACGAAACAAAAACAACCGACAAAAGCCCAAGCAAGACAAAAGGCGAACAAAAATTATATATACTAGTATTCCAAAATGCCAGACGACTGCCTCAAGTTTTGAGTTTTTTTTTAGCAAATGGACTTTATTGACTATTTGAACTATTCACTCAGCACAAATACAAATATCTCATTCTGATGGGTAGCCAAGTACGAGTGCCAGTACGAGAGTATATACTACAAATTATGGTTATGTGTATCTGCCAATCTGTGCAAATTTCGTTCAGAGTTCTTTTCGGTAGAGGGAACAGAACACATTTATTGGAGGTATCAAATTGTAGCAATCAAAGCCAAACAATTAACGTTGCTCATGTGATCTCCCCATTCCTCTTTTCTACCTGACAAACAAATCTCCTTTAATGTGAATTTTGTAAACTCTGGATATCCAGCGGATCTAGATATATGGGCTACATCTGATACAGATAAAAAACACAGCTACAATTTGCTGTTTTCGTGGTCAGGGATGTGGAGAAATGTGAATGTGGAGGCGTCTTTTTTTTTGCCAGAATGCCCAAAATGCCGCCCACTGCATACCCTGATAAACTGATCGGCCCCATCCTACTGCTCCAGCACCCCCCGTCGCATTTCGCTGGCCAATAAGTTTATTGTCTTTACATAAATTTCTTGAAAGAAAACAAACAAAACAGCTGCAGAGTTCGAGGAAATCACATTGCCTTCTCCATTTTCATTTCCAATCTGCTTTTCAGATTCTTTTTTTTTTTGTTTATCAGTAAAAGGCCTGCAATTGTATTTAAATAAAATACACACTACATATACACACATATGTATGCTCATACGTTTGTGTGGGGGTGGGGGAGAAACTCAGCATTAATTTTTCTTGTTTCTTCTGTGCTGGCGTTTTCCATTGATAAATTCTTTCCCCCCGCTCGCGTGTGGGTGGGTGGGTTGCTCTGGAATTCGCTGCGGCTGAGACATGTGATTGCTGGCCATCAAAAGAATCTGCAGTTCAGCTCTGGGCTGACCCTCAGACTTCTCTGCGGGGCCAAAGATCTCTGGAGCCGCTTTCTTTATAGTTCAAAATTGCGGGACAGTTTTTACAAAACATTTTTACATACATAATCGTACTTATACAATATATGGATGGATAATGGCGGGCAAGGTCAGCGGTGAGTGGCTGTCGCCACTGTGATCTTTGCTCGACCGGCTCGTCGTTTCATTCTGCTGTTCAAGTTCAACAACCGCCCGAAGAGATTTGCGATTAAAAATAATGAAATATTTTTGCATTAATTTTCATTTGACTCAATCAACCTTCGACACCGACTGCCACAGAAGACATTGGAATATCAGTGTGCGGTGGTGAGTGGGGGATGGAATGCTATTCAAGTGGGAAAAACATTTAGCTAATCTTTCATTGAGAACTAGGGGCGTTATCATCTGACTATAATCCAAGCACACTCGGGGCTCCAACTGCAAGTGGCAGCCAGCCCCTAGAAAACTATTCACACACGCTCGCTCACATGCACTCGTCTAGCGCACACATCGATGGAGGAATACAGGTAATTACGGTCGGCTCGGTCGCTTGGTGGGTAACAACAACCAGAGAGAAACTACAAATGAAAAGTGCAAAACTGAACAACAACCAGAAAGGAAGCCCCCCGCTTGGGCGGACCGAAGCTAAAGATACCCTCGGAGACTGGTAATTTCTGAATTGTGTGTGTTTCTGATGCAAGATTATCGTGGTCTTCCTGTGTGATATACGTGTGTTATACGACTGGCAGCAGTTCCAAACAGACAGCACATTGATGATTTGTATACCCTTACTAATTACAGGGCCGTTTATGTGTCGGTTTGCAGTATTGCAAACTTCTGGGAATAATCATGATACCCCCGCGTGAGAGTAGGCAAAACAAAGCTCTGGGGCCACAAGGAAGGCCAAGCAATTGAGCTGAGGTTTCTTCTTGCTCGTGTCGCTGTTGTTGTTGTTGTTCTTGCTGCTGCTTATGTGATCCGCGCTTGCAAAGTGGGTCACTTGCAGGCACCCAGCAAGCGAGCGTTTCGGGTCCCATCCCGGCCTAGAAGTGAACCATTTACCCATTTCCATTTCCGAGTGGCTGTACTTAAGCCGCCGCTGCCAGAACAAAGGCAATTGGATGCGAGATGGATGGAGGGAGGGAGAGGGCCTTGAAATGGCATGTCAGCATCTGACATCTTGCATCGATGCGAGGGCAGGCAGAAACATCTGTCGTTGCTGCTGCTGCTGCTGCCGGGGCGCACATCCTGTTGAACAAGTATCCGTGTGTGCCCAAGCAACGCAGCAGCAACAGCAACAACAACACGGACAGCAACAACAGCTGGAAAACATTTAAATTCGAATTTTGAGAAGGGGCGTTGCTAAGTGTGCTAGGGTGTGTGTGTGTATCTGTGACTGATAGTAGCATTTGCTTATCACATGATCTAACGCTAAAGGAAGTGTCAAGTCAAGCAATGCGAGTAATGCTAAACGATTTTTATTGATTGCGCCCGACGACAAACCAAACTGCGGATGGATGATTCACATAGAAGACTTACCCTGCTCCCCTACCGGAAGAGTAGGGAGGAATGGTAAACACCCCCCAACCAAATCGATAGCATTGAACACGAAAGCGAACAAGAGGCACTGACACCCCATGCCATTGCGAGTACACACACCTTCGCACGCAATTTCCCTTCGTTAACGAAAGCTAAGCTCCGTTGTATGCCAAGTGGGGGTTTGGGGACCCGAATTGGGCGTCGCGTCCCCATCTCCCGCCACTCGCGGCTTGCCTTGCTCCGTTTCGTAATCAGAATGGACGCGGGCCGGGACCCCGAAAAAAAACGAATATTGCACTTGATTCTTAATGCTTTTCGGAGCGACACGGACGCCGTTGCGCAGCCAAAATAACATTGCATATTATTTATAGTTGCCCAACGCCTAGCGCCCCCCGCCCACGGCACAGCCCCCAGCCCTTCACGGTAGCCCCACAGCGGCAGCAGCACACACAAAAACTCACCTAAACAGCAGCTGAAGCTGTGCATTATCCAACTTGGGGCTCGGGCAACACTTTAATTCGATTAATGGATGTGTGACGACACGCGCGCAACGCACATTTAATTGATCTTTGCTACACTTATTGGCTTCTTCGTATTTTTTACCAGTCGATTGGGGAAAACAAAATAAATGCTGGGTCCGCGCGACACCGGCCAGTGTGACCGCAGATTTTTCGATAAAACACACCCGCATGACGCTCAGAAATCTATCGAAAAATACCTTCTCAGTTTGAAAATATACCGGATATATATTATTAATAAACAAATTGTTTATCTTAATAAAAGATTAATCAAACCGTATTTTCCTTTGTTTGAGATCATTCTCTTTTCTCTTGATTAGTTTTAATAATATAAAAGATTATCAAAATTTTCGTGCTTGCTCATTTTTGCGTTTCAAACAGCTGTTTGCGGCTTTCTTGCACATTTAAAATAACTGCAATTTGAATTTTAAGCATTGCGACACTTCTGCACCGTTTAAAAAAGAAGCACAATTCAAGTGTTTCAAACACTACCAACTTAAAATTTCCATTTATTTGGCCAAAACACTTGGGTCAATGACATACAAATATTATAAGACCCCCGGACTGGGGAAAGTATCATTTATTTTTGTAAAATTGGTTTACAGCTTATATTGAGAAACATCAAATGCGACAATATCGAATCTACAATAAATGTGTAAAGTGTACGCTTTATGTGGTATAGTACATAGATTAGTAGTACGATATTATCTGCTGAATACATACATTGGCTTATATCAAAATTCTACTATAGTACCAAAAAACTGGCTAATCATTTATGTATGTGTGTATGTATGTAATATACGAATAAGTTCAGCTGAACACTTTAATTTTGATTAGTTTTTGCCTGTTTGGTCGGTCGGTTCTGTTCTGTTCTGATTCGATCTGGTCGGGTACTTTCACTTTCTACCAACTGGTAGGTAATGCGGTAATGCTTTGAGATTCCTAAACCTACAAATCTACTTAGGAGTTTAAACTGCCATTGGATGGGTGAGAAAGGTTTTTGATTTACGCAGTAGAGTAAGACTACATGAAGGGAATTCAATTTGGCATATACATGTATGTAAAACGTTGTAACAGGTATGGTATGGTATGGATAGGATAGAGTATGCAGATGCAGAAGCGTGATCTGTTTTGTGCTAGGCCTTTCGACAGGACGACAATGGTTCAAAGCTCTGAATCCACAACGAAACCACACATGATCCTTGGATGCTTGGAGACGCTCTTCCTGCACTGGCTGTGGTTGGCTGGGCGCCAGCTGGGAGCCGACAGCCAACATCCTAAATGCGTTCGGTTACGTAGACTTTGGCCGAGGCAGGGGCGTTGGATCGTCGCACCGCAAAGGTGACGATGATGCCGATGAAGATCAGTGTGATGCCGATGGCACTGGTGATGTAATGCTCGATGAGCTTATTCTCGGCGCTGCAATAAGATTAGATACGATTAGATTCCGTGGTGAAAGGGAAAACGGAAAGACGACACTCACCTCACATTGGTCTCGGCCACCGTCTCGCGCTCTTTCTCAATGAGACCCGTCACAGATGTGGCAATGGCCAGCCAGAAGTTGGCCAGACCCAGACTGGCGTGTATGGGCACCATGGCGGAGCGGCAGCTGTAGGTCTTGTTCTCACAGCAGAGCATCACCAGAAAGCTAATGCAAGCAGCAGCAATGGGGTGATTAGTATGCGGGATTGGGACACTGGGGGACATACCTGAAGAAACCGATCACAAACTGCAGCACAAACATGCCCATAGTCACGAAACCCAGCCACGAGTGCAGGCTATAGAAGTTCACCTTTTGCAACGCCTCGTGGGAGTCGAAGACGGAGAGGAAACCCAGGGCGATGCACGGAATGGCAATGGCGTGAAAGAACATGTGGATCAGCTTCACATAGATGTGCTTCACGCACCGGCACAAACGATAGATCAAGATGGCTGTGTGGAAAGGAGTGCAGAGAAGAGACTATCGTGATGGGATCGTGAATCAGCTGAAACAATGGCAGATAACTTACAAAATCCAGAGAGAGTTACGAAACCGGCAATCATCAGGATGGGATGCAGATTGAACTGCTGCTTGGGGCTCTCCGACCAGGCGAAGCCATCGCGATAGAACATCACCCAGAAGAGGGTCAGCACCAGGACACCCACCAGCAGAATGGTGGAGAGGATCACGATCAGCAAGTACTCGCACCAGGAGCAGCAATTCCAGGCATTGTCCGGATCCTCCTCGTAGCGCCTGCAAGTAGAGTTGGAACAAATCAAATCAAATCAATTTTAGTTTTAACTTAATTTCACGCTAAGTTACTCATTCTTGGGTAGCATGCCAAGACGGGGTCGACGGAAAAGCATTCGGTTCAGATCATCGATAAAGGGCTTGTCAATGGCTTTCATTTTGCTGGGGCTCCTTTTCGTGGGGGGTGTTACATTATTATATATATATATATTACAAGATATTCAGATCCCCCATTGAGAGAGTTGCCCAACACAGAGCTGTTCCAGCCACAAAGACATGTAAAAAGATGGCTCTCCCTCATTGTAGCATAATTTGTAATGTTTATGGAAAGAATTATGGAAATTCTACTTGACTCCAAATCTCTTGAGATTTAGTTGAACTAATTGCGGGTTGAATGTGCTGCTAATCGGCCTAATTGATGCACAACAGCCAGTCAGACCCTCAAGTGGATTGCACAGCAGTGAGGCTAAGAAAGTTTCCAATTATCTAATTTGCTAAGTAAATTTCCCGTTTCCTTTGAAGCCAGCCCAGATTGTTTGTGGTCTTTCCCAGCTCGGTTCAGTGGAGCCAGCTCTGTGTTGTGAGCTCTCTCTGGAGATTGTTGGTACTTGCTTTTTCACCTTTTCTTGAACATGGACCACAGCTTATATAATTTTTTCCCCATTGGGGAGTGTGAGAGTATAATTTCCTGATAGATTCTGTTTGACAGCTGGGGAAGTGTTTCCTTTCCCCCTGCCCAATGGAGTGGAGTCAAAAGTTGATGGCTTCAATTCAATTGTGGCTTGGGGTATTCATTTCATCACTTGTCGTGTGATCGTATGACATCCAATTCCGATGGCGCACTGATGCTGGGTAGAATGATATCATCACCGAAACATATCCATCATCAGCAATGGGCTGAATGGATGGTGCACTGGGACATTGCTCTGTGAGAACTTCCCCCACAGCACAGCCAACTGCCAACTGCCAGATATGTGAAGGAGCTGCCACAATGAATACCATACCCCCCTCAGGCCCAGGGCCAGCCAATCCGCGGGCCATCTGTTCAAAGTAAACAGCCAACAGACAACAGACAAACTGGATTATGGGCTGGCAGCGATGGAGGCTGGTGTAATTAGGCGCATTGCTGGCTGCCAACGAGGCGCTTAATCATTCCATTCCCAAGTGCAGCTCTTGGCCAGGCCCAGTCCCAGTCCCAAAGCAATTGAAGTGGCAGACGGACAGCAGACGGACAGCAGACGACGGACAACTCTTCAAGTGAAATGCATTGCAATGCCATGCGAAACGAAAGCAAACAAAATGATTATTTAAATTAATAGTGCGTTGCGCCCCTGCCTCTACCACTGCTCCTGCCCCAGCACATGCTGCGATAATGAAAGCAAAAGCGAAGCAAATGGGGAAACTATTACCATTATCACTGGCACTCGCAGTCGCAGTCACACTCTCACTTTTCCAGTCTCGTGTCTAGAGTGCCACTTGCATCATTTGGTGATAGTGCTAATGAATGCTCTAATTTACATGCAACAATAATCCACTGACAGCGAGAGAGCTACAGCAACAGCAACAGATACAGAGGGAGCGAAAGATCTTCTGAGTGGAAAGAGAGCCCCAGCCAGACACATTCGATGGCGATGTCAATGAACGATGTTCGTACTCCTACATGGATGGGATGGGATGGCCTGCATGCAGCATGCTCAGTGTCTGTGCCTCTCTGGCTGCGGCTGCTGCTGCGGCTGTCTCTGTGGTTGGGGCAGGCATTTAGCTTTCAACACATTGGAGAAGGGGCACAAAGGGGCAGCAGTTGTAGTTGCAGTGGCAGTGCCAGAGCAGTGTGTTTGCTTTAACACACATTTCACTTGCCGCACAAAATAAGCAGATAGCAGACAGCAGACGTCAGACGGGCCCACAAATGGGTGTGCATTCATGTATCTGTATCTGTATCTGTATCTATGCATCTGCATGTGTGCATTCGCTGCACGAGTGTATCGTGTAACTCTTTCACTTTTCAACTGGGAGCTACGACTAGTCTGAGAAATTTTCGCTAAAAGCTTTTCGCTTTATGGAAAAACTTGTTTTTGCAGCCACCTGTTTGGGTCCGGGGGAGTGGAGTCGCAGCCGATGCCGGGCCCGGGCCGGGCCTGAACGTGAACCTGAACCTCAGTCACGGCTTTGGATAATGGGTCATCCAGCCAAGCGGAGGCTGTTGACACTCACAGCGCACCCACAGGTATAGGCACAGGCGCAGGCACAGTGCCGCAGAGAAAGCGCACCAGTGGACAGTTCTCAGAGAAATGTGGAGATCCTCCACACGAAAGCCATAGTAGGGGATTACGATTACCCTACAAAGGCTGAAGGCAGGCAGGCAGGCTGGCCGAAGATGGCATCCAATCAACCTCTTGATAGATGCAAATTTAATTAAAGTCGTTCCATTCCGTTGATTGGTCGAAATGGCAGCGAGTGGAATGGGGTATGCGAGTAGTTGCCCAGTTCAGGGGCAAGGCATCCGTCATCATAGGCTTGGGCAAACAGTGTGCTGTGGCATCCGTCCCGAAGCTTGGACAAATGTTAATGCTTTCTTATCACACGCGAAAAAGATAAGATCATGTGATTGTGACTGGGATTGTGCCTGCCATTGCCATGGCCACAAGATGTCTCCATAAAAAAAACAGCAGCCATAGCCACACAAAAAAAAGGGGAACAGAAGAGAACAGATCTACGTATGTATGTATGTATGTACTCTGTCCGTATCTGTACTTAAAAGCAGGCTAATTATGGCCATAACTGCTGTCGCAGCGCTAAAGATGTTGCCTGGAGGCGTTGCCTCCCCAACGGTAACTGGAGCAGCAGCGTTAACTGTCCAACATGGTGTGCGGGCAGAGGCAGAGGCAGGCAGGGGCAGGCAGGCAGAGTATGAAGAGTGGAGTAGGGAGGATTCGGAGTACTCCAGCACTCCAGGAAGCCTGGGCATATTTCAATTACAGAAACCATAGGATGTAACAAATAACGAGCCGGTGCGGAATGCACAATTAAAAGTCTGCAACTGGAGGCAAATTAAAACATTTGTTGCCGCAGAGCCGCACGCACCACTGAAAATCAGACAAGCACACGATGGATGTACATGTATATGTATCCTGCGGGTTAATTATGACGATAGAGCAGAGTGAAGTACGATCCACGCGCACACACACTGTACTGCAAACATATATACGGGGTCTGGTGTTATTTTACAATGCCCGACAATTGTTTAGAGACGACGCGTCGTCTCGGAGTCTCAATTGCGGTTCGCCGGAGTGCGGGTGTGCGATCATATTAAGCGACATGATTGCATATGCATATACACTCGCATGGCACACACACGCACACACACACAGACTAGAGCGAGCACTGAAATTGTATCTTGAAGATACAATCGAATTCGCGGCACCATAACCAGAGACGACTCAACTGCGAGTACGAATGCGATCCTCAGATGAAATCTACTCTCCCCAGCCGCCAGTGTTTTTCGCATTAATACGCAATTGTTTAATTTAAGTAAATATGATAAAGTCGATTTGAGTTGGGGGATTGGGGACTTACGATGTTGTTGTTCCTCCACGCGGCATTTTGGCCAAGTGACGATCACGCATTTAGCCAAGTGTTCGAAATTAGTTGAAAAACTGCTGTGTTTTCGCTTCTTTTTTTGTCACCGACACCCACTAGACACGATCTCAATGGGTTGATAGTGATGCGTCACTTGTCGGCTCTACTATATAGCTATATATCTATAGATCGTTCATGTGGCAGAGCTTTCCGCAATTGAGGTTCGGCGAACGCGAATGCTGTAAAATGCCAATCTATAGACAATTGAGACACCGAAAGGGGAGGGGACACACTGTCATCTGACTGTGGAATCGCTTAATCGCTGGAACCATTGAAACAGAACTCAGATATCGAACAAATACGACTACTAGATACAGATACAGATGCTAATCAAAATGAATGCTTGGCGTTAATTTGTCAATCACAGAGAATTCGATTCGAGGGTTCTCTGGGGCTATAAACGATCCCATACAGCGACAGATTCGGTATTTATTCATGTGCTCATGCGGGGCCGAAAAGTTCACACGCAGCGGATTTAATTAATACGATTTCTATAGATGCAAATTTCGATTTTTGTCTTGTTTTAAAAAAGCACCGAAAAAACTCTCAATTTTACAGCAAAATAGCCAAAGAAAGCCACAGATCCGTGTAATGCACAGTTGTAAGCATCTAAAGTTGGTAAAAGTGGCACACACACACACGCACACACACACTACACACTCAGCATGAGTATAAACAAAACGTTTTAATTATAAAATCGCCGGTTTCGGTTCTTCTTTTGTTTATGCTGCTCCTTTTGTTAGGAGCGAGACACACACCAGCGCCACAACAACAACACCAACAAACAATATTCAAATGCCGCCCGCTATCCTCAAACGTATCAACAAGCGACAGTATCCACGGAAACAACTGATAACGGCGGCGATCGAGTCAAGACAAAAACGAATTTTCAATTTTCTGCCTGCCGAAAGCTGTTGGATTGGCGTGCTGCCAGATCGTTGGAGATGACGAACGACGCGTTAGGGTATTTTTGTCAAAGATCGTTCGCGTGAAGCGGAGACACGAACCATGCATGTAGAATGCGTGTACAAAATTTCCCTGGGATAGTCATTTGTAGGCGTGTCCGCCCCTATTTTGGACGTTATGGCGATTCACCACAAAAAAGTTGAGAGGACTGGAATCAAGTCCTCTAATGGAGGACATAATCTGTTCATTGTTGCATCAAACTAAAACGCAAGGAAAATATTTGAAGGCCTTCCCAGTCGGATATAGTCGTCAGAAATGTACTTGAATGCTATCTAGCTGTCATACTTAAGCCACGGCCTTGGATTATACAATTTTGAGTTTCAAGTTTCTATTGCTAAGATAAGTATTGTAAAGATAAAAGATAGGCAAGACACTGAGCAGACATATTCTAAATTAACAATAAAGCCAACAGATAAAAAGTAATTTGACTAAAAGTGGACAAACAGAAGTAAATAGGTGAAGTAGGAGTAGGTGTAGGAGTAACCATTGCTTGAATTTCCATTCGGCGCTTAATTAATGGGACACCTGTATATTAATAATACGTACGACTGCCTTTGGGGTCTATAAATAAATGGGTAAATGTGTGGCTCAGTGAGCATGAATACAATCGTATCAATCAAGACACCTGGCAGCAGCCTGTGAGCCAATCAAATATTTATGGAAACGAGGCTTCCCTCAATTCGTGGCGAAGAAGCCAACCGCACAAGAACAATGCTTGTGGGTCAGTCAGCACTTACGGATGGGGTGAGCGGAGCCCTCACCCAAGGACCGACTACAGCAAACACACCCTGGCTTTGGTGGCTTGGTCATTACTCGAGGTCGGGTAAGCGGAATGGCTATAACTCCTTGGAGCGCAGAGCTAGTGGTTTTTTTTTTGTGTGGTTTTGGTGTGGGAGCGCGCCCAAAAAAATTACTTAAAATCAAATGAAAACCAAATGAAAACGTAATGAAAATGTGCCAGAAGAAAAGGCGGCGAAAAGGTTGAGGCCAACTGAGGACACTGGACAGATGTCCGTTCGTCTGGAAAATATGTCCGTAATTACTTGGAGCTCACTGGCGGAGGAGCTCCACTGATGGGTGCTGCGTGCCACAAATTGGACAAGGACACTGTGGGACAAGCAGTGGGTTGGGAATGTTTACTACCAGAGGCAGCCAAAGGCAACTGTACGCGCACACGCGATCAACTGTTGCTTGTGTGTGTGTGTGTGTGTATCAGTGTGGGTGTGGGACGGAGTGGGTGTGGGAGGAAGGATGTGCCCGAGTTTTGTGTGATTTGCGAGCGAGGTCGCATTAAAATAAAATTTACGACTTTCAAAGATACGTGAATTAGGAAATTGGCGCGTAAAAATACAAACGCGGAGTACTACACCCACAAGTCAAAGGGTGTGTAGGCGTCGACAGTTGTTGTTGCTGCTTTTGTTTTTGTTGTTATTGTTGCTGCTGCTGCTGTTGTTGTTAATTAGCCTTAGCCTTTTGGGGCCAGAGCGTAATGCTAACGTGCCTCGAACCCATTCGATGTAAATGTTACACATACGCCGCGTGGTGCCATTAGAATCGATTAACGGCCAGGCTTTAACGATGCCCTGATACGCATATAAGACTGGTACGGAGTCTTTCTGAGGCTTAGTCAGTGAACAAATATAAATCCGGCTGCCAGCTGAGCAGCCGAGCAACAGAGACAATTGCCGGCTAGATTGCTCTGCTCTGATCTCTCTAGGGCTCTGGGGCCATTTGTGGGCTGTGTCTGTGTGGCTGCGTGTCTGACTGCCTGTCTGTTCTATAAGTGACACAATTTACTTAAATATTTATGCACAAATGTTTTTGGGAAGGAAAGCTGTGAATTGTGTTGATTGCTTGATGATGCTCGAGAAAATGTTCAGGGGCCAAAGGGATTGATTAGGTATCATGGGGGGACGGCACTTACTTCTCGTCTGGCGGTGGTGGCATCTCAATGCCATTTGGTGTACCCGGCGGTGTCTTCTCGCTGTCCAACATGGCCAATGGTGCTTCCAGCGGTGGCAGGGGGCTCACCGAGTTCGAGTCCATGTTAAAGCAATCAATTTTGATGGTTTCTTTTTCTGTTTCTGTTTCGGTTCCTGTTCTGACTGCGAAGAGTTGAAAGATATTGGTGTGTGGTTTTTACATGAGTAAATATGTTTTATGTGCGGCATATTTATAGAGGGAACAACAAAACAACAGCAAACTGCAGCACCAGCTACATACTCGCATATCCGCATCCTCCCACCCATCTGTCTCTGGCAGCAAGGAGAGAGAACTCTTCCGCATCTCCCTTCTGCCGCCACGATCTGGCGATGAATTGCGGCGCCGCCAGATGCCAGTTTTTATTACGTATGAATGGGCTGAGGTTGGTGCGAAGTCCCCTCCAGTGATTCCCACTACACCCGACCATTGCTTTGGCCAAAATTGGAATGCTGCATGATGAGGGGAGGGAGAGGGCGAGGGCCCCTCCCCCCACTTCAGCCATGCAGAACATTCATGCTGAGGCCGGGAATTGGTTTTTATTTTTGGCCACTCCACTCCACGCCACGCCGCCGCGTAAGGTGGCAAAAGTGCAGCGTCAACAGGAGCTGAGCCCCCCGGCCACAGCGAGCAGGGCAATGCACTTGACTTGGTTTTGCATTCTGCCGTTCTGCTGTTCTGCTGCTGTGTCTGAAATTGGCTCATCACACGTCCGATTGGGTTCTACGGAGAGCGCCAATTTCCGCTGGTCTCCATCGAATTCTGGGCGGCCCGCTACACCCCCAATCAATGATTATTGGACGTTCTACTTCTTGGCAGTTCATTGAACCCAATGGGGAGACGCTTGATGGACACATGAATGCATAGCAAATGTTGATGTCGAAGCCAACTTCCTTTTCCCAGCTAGCGTCAGCCCCAGCCCCAGCCCCTTCCACTTGAATTCCTGTGACTTGTTTGCATTACAATGTCCCCCCGACATGTGTCCATTTCCCACGACTGGACTGATTGAATCGAGTGAGTGACCCACCCCTCAGCCGCCCACCCACTCTCCAAAGTTATTTGCATTCCTTGCCGATTTGTGTCTCTCACTATTATTAGCTGATATGGTCTGACAATTATTGTCAGTAGAAGTAGAAATAGACGTAGAAGTAGAAGTACAAGTACAAGTGCGTGGGGTAATGTATGAGTGCTGTGCTCCATTTGTTTTGATTGGTTGCCCGATTAGAGTGAGACTCTGTCTGTCTCCTCCCCCTCTTTGCAAATGAGTTCAATTTCCAGAGACATGCTCGTACTTAGACTTCTTGAGCCCCAATTCCCATTTGGATGCTATCGCTTGAGCTGCGTTCTGCTTTGAAGAGGAAACTGGACATTATGCAATTCCACAGCTGCTGACGCTGCGCTGCCCGTATCTATCCGCCTGCCTCGATGTGGAAACAAAAAACAAACAAACAAACAAAACGAGCGGCCAAAAATCCACTCACAAAAGAACAATTCCCCGAATGTAGAATGGCCCGGATATGCACCAAAATGTGCCGAGTTTGTCAATTTTTGGGGCAGCCTCAGAAGAGACACAGACAGAGATGGAGCATATAAAGTGGAAAGTGGAAAGGGGGCAGCCAGTGGCAGCCACAATAGACATCCTTTTTTGTGGCAACAAACTGAATAATCCGATTTGGGTCTGCTGAATTCAGTGGCTTATTCACTGCCATTCGAAAATCCTTACACACACACACACACACAGTAGATAGACGGAACCGGAAGTGCAGCATCTATAGACGACGATGCCACCAACCGATGCTGCTGCTGTCTGCTTTTGTTGTTGTTGTTGTCACTCTATGCCGGGCCAAGACACAACCTACCCCAAGATGTAATGTGGCGTGTGGAGTGTGCAAACCCTTTTCTCTTTTTTGCTGGGATCTGCTTAACGCGATGCGATGCGATGCTCAATTAAGTAATTACACACAAAACACTCCACGAATAACGAACAACGAATAACAAGTATTAATATGAATATGGTTATGTGTAATTGGATTTGTGGTCGCTCCAATGAATATGCCTTTAAATATTTTCAGCAATTAATTCATCTGCAGTGAAACGAGCGAACGGAACGCAGATGCACCACACATTCCCGGACCGGCAACGACGGCGGCGACGGCAGCGACGATGTTCCTGATGAATCCGTGATGGAAACTCCAAAAACAAACAGAAACAAGCAGACAGACGCACTTCTCTACCACGTCCGAGCTCCACGAATGCTGTGAACGAACTGAATTGGAATCGAAATTGGAATTGCCCGGCAGCTCGATGGAGCAGAGTGCCGAGCATAGGGAGGGGGGCAGCGCGGGAGCCGAATGCTCCAACTTCGTGTACCTTCGTATCTAGCGCTGCAAAGTACCGTACGAATGTAATGTAGAATGTCCACACACATGTATGTAGGATGTAAAGAGTGATGTAGAAATCGTGTGAATTGTTATTCTGGGGGAATAACAGAAATTAAGAGAAAAACTTCGATTGATTTGTCTGTTTTGTGAACTAACATAAGTTCATATATTCAATTTGTATTTGTAAACTTGATTCATCAGAACAGAATAATACATAAATATGCATACAGCAAACACACACAGTTTGAAACACCAATTGACTATAGCGTACGGGTAATATAATTGTAGGGTCGCAGACCCTCCGATATCGGTTAGTAGACAGATAAACACATGTACGTATGTATTCGTTATTGTTACATTAAGTTATTGTCATTGTTTCAAATGGATATTTGTGTATTCTGGAATATGTAGATGTGGCTAACTAAGTACACTACGATGGTTGGGGTAAGTACAAGTACAAATGCCGCTAAAGCACCCACACGATCCTGATCGAGGGAGCTATGGTGGGGGGGGACGTTGCTTGGGATGTTTGGTTTATTAACAACTAAAGTAGGCGCCGATCGGCTCTCCCCGCGGACTGGCCGGTGGATGCAAGGGGAACTCTGGGGCTCTAAGCTAAGTCTTTGTAAAAACTAAATGATTGTGCGAATAATTTAGACACAGGCGATCGAGAGCGAAGGAGAGAGATTCTACGGGTATCCGGTGGGCACCGGACCATCTCTGACTGCTGCCTAGAGACCCGGCTTGGTCTTGTCATCGCTGGCAATGCTCGCCGTGCTGCCCGACTCCGAGGGCGCCGGGCTGGACAGGCCCGATCCGGACTCCGTGGGAATGGGGCTGCTGGTGGGGCTGCGATCGAGATCGCTGGTGCTGCACAGCTCCTGAAATGTTTGATTGCAATTGGTTATGTCTTGAGTGGGTTTCGCTCCTTGAACTGAACTGACCTCATCCGCCTCGGTTTTGGTGGTCACCGCCTCCGGTGTGCACTCTGGGGCCGCGACTGTCTTCTCGGCCCAGGACTTAAGGTATGCGACGACGTCCGAGTGGCCAAAGTTCTCGGCCTCATCGACGGGCAGGTTGCCCCACCGATCCTTGGGGTTGTGCGGCACGTGGCACTGCTCCAGCAGGAACTTGACGCACTCCAGGTGCCCCTCCGAGGAGGCCAAGTGCAGGGCGGTGCGTCCGTCGTAGTCCGCCAGGGTGATGTCCATGCCAGAAAGTCGGTGCCGGCGCAGGGCCGTTACATCGCCGCTGGCCGCCGAGAAGAGCAGATTGACAATGGACAGACCTTTGGTCTCGTAGCGGTGCTTGCGCGGATCCTTCTTGTTGGACAGGTGCTTCAGGTTGTCGTAGCGATGGAAGTTGAACATGTTGACCAGCTCCTCGCAGAACTGCAGGCCGCGCACTGTGTTCCCCAAGTCGTCGAGTGGCGGCGACCAGGCAAAGATGCCCATTACGTTGGGGATGACCAGCATCATGCCGCCGCTGACGCCAGACTTGGCCGGCAGGCCCACCTTGAAGGCGAACTGGCCCGAGTAGTCGTAGGTGCCGCAGGAGTGCATGATCGAGAGCACATCCCGGATGACCTCCGGCCGAAAGACCTTCTCCTCGGTGGTGGGGCAGATGCCACCATTGGCCATGCTGGCCGCGATCACGGACATGGCCTCGCAGTTGGTCTCCATGGAGCAGCACTGGAAGTAGTAGTCCATCACCTCCTTCAGGTTGGTCCGCTTGGGGAAGCACTTGTTCTCCCGCATGTAGAAGCCGAGGGCGTAGTTGCGATCGGCTGCCTCTCGCTCCGAGAGGAACACGGCATTGTTGAAGCCGATGTACTCGCCGCCGGACAAGCGCTTGAACCAGGACATGGTGTAGTCGAAGATCTCGGCCGAGGTCATGTCTGGCTTGACCAGCGCATTCATCAGGGAGCAGGTGAGAATGGCACCCGCATTGATCATCGGATTGTGTGGCTTCTCTGTGAAGGGGAAAACAAATCAGTTTTAATTGGATCACATGGAGGAGGAGGAGGAGGAGAGATCCACTTACTGTTCTGGTCGAGGACCAGCTCATTGAAGTTCCTGCCGCTGGGCTCCTGTCCCACGTATGAGTGCACCACCTTCGGACCGAGCTTCTCCAGGGCGATGGCATAGGTAAGCGGCTTACTGCAACTCTGCAGTGTGAACGGTTCCTCCACATCGCCGATGGAGAAGCGCTGTCCGTCGACGGTGCAGATGCTCACGCCCCACGATTCGGGACAGTAGCGCGTCAGCTGGGGAATGTAGTCGGCGATTTTGCCCAGTGTATTGGTCTTGCAGCGACAGTAGATCTCCTCGATGTCCTTCACGAAGCTCGAGAAGTCGGGTATGATGAACTGCTGTCGGAATGCCTTCGCAATCAGCACGATATTGGGAGCCACCACGCTGAGCAGAGTTAAGTCAGAGGATTAGCATTAGCATTAGCATTAGGATTAGCATTAGCTCAAAGTGTACTTCCACTTACGCCTTGAAAGTCTCACGGTTGAGGTGCTGCGTCTCCGCCGAGGATCCCGTCTCGTAGTTGTTCAGCTTGTGCACCTTCTTGAGGTTGTCCATCAGCTCGCGCACACGCGGATCATTCCGCCTGATGCCGGTGGTCTTCAGTCCGTTGAGGAACTTGCCCATCGATATAAGTCCCGTCTCCTCGCTGGCAAACATATCGAACAGCACATCCTCCGCATTGCGCTGCTCCTGCTCCCGATGGCTGTGCGGATGGATAGAGGGAATAATATTTAGTACGAGTCGGTTGGTCGGCTAACGGTTAGAAAATTAGCGGAATGAATGGTTTCGCCCGCAAAAGCTGTGCAAACCACAAAGCCATTGCGGGTTTTAGGGCACACGCTAATTGGGCGGCGGGCCAACCCCTCCTCCGGATCGCCGACTTTTAGCATGCGTATGTCGAAAAGCAAAGGAATATAGTACTGGGTATACTGGGCACAACAACAAATTCAATCTCTACAACTACTGAACGCCATTTGTTGTGGGGGGCAGGCGACCTGCTGTGGCGCTGGACACCAGGTGCTAATTTCCCCACAGACACATCTAATGCAGCAACGTGCTGGTCTGGTCTGTTCTGGTTGGGTCGGAAACTGCACGAATCCAGTCGGGGGAGTATTTATAGATTTTTGCCAATGTTGTTGTCATGGGTAATTGATTAATTTTTGGAACTATCAATTTGGGTTAATTAATATTTTCTGCAGACTTCAATCAACTTCAATTTGGTCGAGTTGAGCTTGATTGAGCGATCGTCGGGGTCGGGGTCAGGGCTTTGGCTGGGCTGGTAGGATCGTTGAATGGAAAGGAGTCAAATCTAAGTCAAACACTACAGAGGAAGAGGAGCAGCAGGAGGAGAAGGAGGAGAAGGAGGAGCACAATAAACTTAATTACTCACGGCCGCATCGAATAGTGGCGTCGCTGATTGCTAAAAGAGTTGATAAACAGGATGATCAGAGAGATACAGATATAGAATAGATTTCCATATGTTTTGTAATGAGCGTCAATCAACGCAATTTTTGTGGTGGGTGTGGGCTGGGCTGTGATTGGAGGGGTCTGTCTGTGTGTGTGTCTCTTTTCGTTTGCACAATCTATTTTTATGATACACTCGGCAACCTTTCGCGTTCCTGCACTTGCTCTTGCACCTGCTGCGGCCCTGGCTGTGCCCTCGGCTGTTGACTCTATTTTTACCTTATTATGGCGGAAATTGTACGGACAATTGTGCCGCGACGACTCTGCAGGGAGATGCCCTCGATGATCTCCTCGATGATGGCCGCCGTCTCTGTCGTTTCCTGCTCCTTGCCGCGCCTGTACGTCTCCTCGCGCTCCTTGGTGGCCTCCCCATCCTCGCTCTGCCGCTTCAGCTCCTGGATAACTTCAGCCCCTTCCTTGTTCTTCACCATGCTGTCGTTTATCTGGTATTATGTGTATCTGTATCTGTAGCGTAGCTATCTTTTTGTCTATGGATTACGATAGAACCCGCTTTGTCCTGACTTGAGCGCTGAACTGTTGCAAGTTTAATGGGAACATCTGTAAGCGCGCCGGCATTTTATACATTATCGAAATGTGTGACTTTTGGTTGGGTCTGCGGAGCACTTAGATGGAGAGGCGGTGCCAGGGAGCAGGAGGCCGAGCAGGGCAGGGGCACGGCAGGGCAGGGCAGGGCAGGCGCACCACAGAGAGTCGAGCGAGAGTCGCGAGGTGCTAATTTCTAAATCATGTTATTGCCAATAAAATAAATTAATTAACTCCTTTTTTCTACTACACATATATGTATCTATATAGACATAGACACACATTTCGATGTGTGTTTTATAGGATTTATATGGCATTATAATGGCTCTAGGGTTTGTCTGCCCCAATCTGTGTACACACGCGTGGTACTGCTATTCATGCGAGTCGAGTCGAGTCGAGTCGAGTCGGTTCTCTGGGCATGCACGATAAGGGGACATGACGCGGAGGAACCTTTGAGACGCCACCGACATGCTGATAAGGCCCAAAGGTGACGCTGGTGATGGTGCTGCCGGTGGGCACGTCCCAGATGAGTCACATTTACCTGATATACTTCGTTATCACCTTGATGAAGGTCTCCTTCTGGCTCTTGGTGCACAGTCCGGCCACCATTTCGGCTATGATGCCCGCATCGATCAGATCCGCATCGTCCTGTATGCGTTCCACCCCATTAACGGGAGTCGCGGTGGCTGCCGGAGGCACTGCCTTTTCCTCCACCACTTTGGCGGCATTCTCCTTCACCAGTTCGATCAGCTCCTCGCCCGTCATTGACTTTAAATCATCCACAATTTTCTGGCGAATGACATCCTTGAACTGTGCCGCCTCCTCGGCGGTGTAGCCGTCCATCGGTATTGGCGCCTGCTCCGTTGCATACTGCAACAGGCTCCAACTGCGATCGCCCATGCTTATCTGTGTGTGTGTGTGTGTCGTTGTCCGTTTGGATACCACGATTCCTGCTCCCTGTACAAACTTGCGGCCCGTCAATCACGAAATGAGCGCAACGGGCGATCGGGCAATGGTTTTATAGTTTAGCCAATGGCACCAACATTTTACATACATATGTATGTATGTACATATGTATGAATCTACACTCATGGATGCCAAAGAGTTGAGCGAATTTCGATTTTTATCTTCGTTTAATAAACGTATGTTAATTTATTTTTATGCGCACGCGATTGCCGGCAATTAGCGCAGTCTGCGCGATACAGAACCCCCTAAATTCAGAGCTCTTCGGTCTTCAGAACTATACCCGAACCATTAAACAATGGGCATCCAGTCCAAAAGAGTGAAGTGAATATAAATATATATATGTATCTGTAGGGATTCCACACAAAATATTTACCCAATGCAATCATGAAATGTTATTGCAAAACAGGGCACATTTCTTTTTGTTCTTGTTGCTAATTGAGTCTGTAAACTGTTTCGGCTGCTGACTGCTGGCTGCAGTTTTTGAGAACAATATTTGGCCATCTATGAATAGATGTGCTATAAATGGAATCCACTGGGGGGGCTGTGGGATCTGGCCAGATACCCCAGTACCCCAGTACCCCAGTATCCCAGCATCCGTAGCTCTGATGGACGGTGGACGCAACTCATTTGAGCCACGAGGCATGGAGTAGGAGTAGGAGAAGGAACAGCAGCCATAGCCAGAGCAAGTGCGAATGAGCGATGTAAATATTTTGAGTGAATGCATTCGGCTGGGTGCTTTGGGGTGGAGTGTGGCCGGTGTGGCAGGTGTGAAATGTGGCAAGTGGCAAGTGCTGCACTCGAATCGGCTGATTACTTACAGTTTTGCATTCTCCTCGTTGCGTCCGGAGCTGGTGTCGTAGAAGGATAACTTGCGATTGGCAAATACCAAATTCATAAGCGGCGGAGCGCGCAGTTTCTTCTGAAAAGGTTAAGAAAATATATTACTAAGTATTTAATTTCGATTTAGTTGTGTGTGTTTCTGGTAGGAATGTCTCCTCGGTCACGTATTCTCCGACTTAACTCAAATTATTCGACACGTACAAACATATTTAAGGCCAATTTTCAATGTACTCCGCTACTGGTTCGAACACGGAATAATGGACTCAAGCCATAAGCCAGAACCTTATATAGTCGGATTTATGCGTTAAAAAGCATTTACTTATGTCAAGTACCTTAACTTGTGTAATTGGAATAAAACTGCTTCGAAGTATGCCATTAGAGAACATCATCCGCTCCAGTTTCTTTGCTGTTCTCATTGGTTTCATGATTTTTAACCTTACATTTAATTTATTCCATGATTTGTTTAGTTTAAATTCTATGCCTACTGGCCAATTTCTTTAACAATATTTACCATTCCAATTACATTAACTCTAGTTCAGTTAGTCTGTATTTTATTTGTAACTAAATACTTCCTACTAATGCCATTGCCATTACCCAACCCAACCCAAACCAAACCAAGCCAAGAGGTGCATGACATCAGCGGAGCAGACGTTTCCGCTCCTTCGACTGCTTAGATTACAATATTATTTTCTTTGTCGATAATATAAATCAATTCCATTTCTATTCCGAAGCGAGTTGATTCTTTCAGTCCCCAGCGTGCATTATTCGCATGCCAAATTCCGTTTCTTAATGTTCAGCTGTTTTCGCATTTGCTGTGTGAATATTATTAAATACATATTGATCGAGAAGAAAGTCATGTGAACACGACAACAGCACCAGTTGCGGTGGTATAAAAATATAGCAAATAATAATATAATATAGAATTTGGCAAACAAGTTTTGGTCAAGTGCTTCAAAGAACCAGAACAAAGCCCAGAGACAGAGACTGAGGTGGAGGAGGCTCGGCGGCACCTAAGCGTGGGACGCACCTGACTGACACCTTTCCATATGAAATTCGGAAGGTTGACGAAATACTTGACGCACAATTTGCACGGAAGTGCTCAAGCGCCAAAAGAGAAACGAAATTTTGGGAAAATTTTGGGGAGAAATACTCGTCGTCCAATGCTCTCTTTCTCATACGAAAAAACCATGTGAGTGGTGAAGGGGCTTGGTTCTTTGTTGCTGTGTCAGCTGAATTTATAATATATACATACTTATATACATATGCGCAAAATTCTAAATATTATGTGCGTGTGTTCGTTTCTTCCATGGCAACGACGCGTCGAAACATTCACAAAACCACCAGAGTTCGGCGTCTGCTCGTGGAGAGGCGAGGCTGGTGGGAACTGTGAGTGATCTCTCAGGTTTTATAGCATACCCCGTAATCTTCTTAGTTGTATTCTCAAATATCAAACGATCTACCGAAAATTATGCCAATCTCATTATTATTACAGGCATAAATTCTGCAATAAATAGGCTATTATGGCCAGGGATCACACGTCTTAGCCTTATCTTGTCATTCTGCAAGTGATTTTGAATAACTTGCACCTGCTGCTTCTCAATCATATCATTTTTCACTGAGAGTATAACAGATAATCCCCGACCAGCAGGTATTCTAAAGTCCAAATATCGTCTATGGCGATTCCAATTTGTTTGTTCTTCGGTTGCTATGCTACGCTCACGTTTATTCAATTTATTTTTGGGTGACATTTTTGCGTGATTCTGTGGGTAATGGAATAAGTTCGAGTATGTGTGTACCGAAGATTTCCGATAGCGGGCGTGAAAGATTAATTTAATTTATTCCCAAATCAGTTTTCAATGTCTCGGTCAGCGTCTGGGGCCCGCCGTCTGGCGTCTTGACATTTTAATGGGTTTGTTGACAACTCCAAAATTGTAGGTGCCCCACATCTGATAGAGAACTGGTTGCTGCCTGTATGAATGAATGAATGAAGGAAGGAAGGACCACTAGTTTCTGTGTGTACACTTGATTTGCCCGTGATTAGCGCTTTATAAAAAATCGTCACGATAATTTCACAATTTTTTTTTTGTCCAGACTGTCTAGAGTTCACGTGATAAGATACCAAAGAGAAGCTATCCCTGTGGGAGTGCGGGTGAATGGGCTGGACTTTTTATCTAGCGGAGCGATTGCGCCAATCATGGTGCGGCGTGGTTCACGGTTATCTAATTAAACTAAATCCCGGCGACAGGGCGCTATCTTTATTACCGGGCTACCTAGAATACGGCGATGTCAGTTTTATTTTTTTTCGTAATGAAAGAACTTCCAGGCCAGTGCACAGAGTCCATGGGCGGCATGCTCGTAATACATCTGATATGTACCAGTATGTGGGCGATGTCTGGCATACTCGTATATTCTTGTTGAAGTTTCAAAAAAATCTATTCTCGGATGTGTGCAAATTGTTTGCTTTACTGCTGGAAAACTGCGCACTCGGGGATTGTGGTGCAGATTCACTCTAGCTACTGCATGTAAAAATCAATACAAACGCGATTCATGGCCAAAATATGCGAGACACTTTCATCATCCTCCCCCAAAGATTTCGTGGTCAGCTGTTCGCGTTGGACTCACCTCAGTTGCGATTTTCTGCTTCACCTGCTGGCCCGTATGGCCAAACTTGACGCGATTCAAGAGATTCGACTCCCCAAAAGAGTGGACATCGGTGGGATCCGCCGCAGCCAGTTCCACAGACGTCGCCTTTGAGCGTTTAGCCAGGCCCAGGCCCAGGCCAACGGTGGCTGCCTGCTCCGTGTGGCTCCTCAGGAAGCGAAGATTCTGGCTGGCTAGAGTGGGAACACCTTTGAACATTATCACAATCACTTATTCCTCTGTTTTGTCTGCACTTTCTCAATGCCAATTCAATCAGCCTCAAACTAAACGGTGGCTGGAGTCTCTAAACTTTCTTTCGTTCGCGTAATTTCTGGCTAATGTGCTCTGTCTGCTCTGTGCGTGTCCGCTTCTGCACATGCGTTCGTTCTCTTTGGGCGACTCGAAAGGTACTAAAAAGCCCAACACACAACCCAGCGACCGTTGGCAGCAAAAAACTTATAATCAGCCTACGGTCCGCCGCTGCCGCTGCCGCTGCCACCGGCAACAGCAGAAGCAGAAGCAGCGGCAGCAAAAACAGCGGAAACGATAGAATGCTAACCGGGAACAAGAGCTACCAAAAATGAGAGCTACATTTCCAGCTGTCACTCTGTCTCTCTCGCTCTCCCTCTGTTTCTCTTTCAGTCTGTGCCTCCCACATTGTTAGCACGTGTTCTCCCCCATCGATGACGTTGCCGGGGGCTCGTCTACGGCATTTGGCATTTGTCATGGCGACGATGACGTCACTCGCATACTTGTGTGAATTCGATGTGTGGATGTGTGGAAACTTTATTAAAACCATCTGCAAATGCTCGAGAAACAGGAGGAAAGATGGATGGCTCATTCACTGGTCGGTATCACAACGAAGAGCAACGACATCAGCTTGAGGTAGTCCTCCTCCACCAGCTGGACCTGGGACTGCTCACAGAAACCGGGCTCCGTCGGAGGCGGGAAGTACTGCACTTCCAGGGGAGCCAGTTCGTCCGGCTGGTAGTTTTCACCCGGATACAGGCGCTTCCTGCTGCCCAAGTCCATCGCGCTATCATTGGTGCTTCCGTCCATTCCCTGTCGGGGTGTGGACGAGGTGGCCAAGTGCTGGGCGGCAGCCGGACCATGTCCCGCCGCTATGGGACTCAGGTCGCGCGTCATGTCAAAGTTGTTCGTGCCAGCAGCCGGTGTGCGATGCTGCTGCTGCAGATGCAGCCGTCGGACCACATTCACCCGTAGCTCGTTGGCGGGGGCGGTGCTGGTGCGGCGTACTACATCGGTGCTGCGGCTGCTGCTGGGGGAGCTGGAGCTCCGAGTCGGATCCAGGAAATTCAGCTTGAACAGCCCGTGCTTGCGTCGCAGCCAGGGGGAACGCGAGTCGCGACTGTCGGCGATCACCTTGCGACGCACGAACTCGTGGAAGCAGAGGAGCTCGTTGCTGATGTCCCGCCGCACAATCTGCTTCCAGCGCGGCTCCAGATCTGTGGACCGAATCATGTAAATGCCCTGCGACGCCACAAACATGAGCAGGTGCTCCAGGGCCAGCAGGCAGAGATGGCTGTCCATGTTCGAGAGCAGCTCGCTGGCGGGACAGCTGGCGGATACAATGGAGGTGCTCGATATTGTCTTGGAGAAGGTTCGGTTGGTCTGGACAGCCTGGTTGGATGCACATTCGTTGTCCGCCGCCTCGCCACCCTCCTGGCTGACATTGGGCAGGGTGTTGATGGGCAGCTCGCTGAACCCATGATTTTGCTGTGGATTCAAAAAGATCAGTGATCTTTCCGCTATAAATATACGGGCAGGCAGCATACCATATTGAGGGCCTTCACATAAATGCTGACCATGTTCAGGATCATGCTAAAGGTCAGCGTTACATTTTCCTCGCTCAGCTTGGGCGCTCCGAACTTCACGTCGAGCAGCGGTGACCATTTGTACGGCTCGTAGACACTGGAGCAGATTAGTTCCATCAAATCGGGGCTGAATTTGAGCAGCGACTTGGTACAGTAGATGATGATGTCGGTGAGGCTGTTGGTGTACCAAAAATATATCCCAATTAGTCACACTGGAGGCCACAGCCACAAACAATCACAACAACTCACTCGTTGCAGGCCGAGATGAGGTCATCGTCAATCACAATGGGCGCGGTGCTGCGCAGGATCTCCAGCTGGCAGTGTCTGCCCGCCAGGAGACACTTCAGATTGCGCTGTTGGTGGAACAGGGTGGAGACGTGGCACAGCAGGGTTTGCATCGCACGCTACGGGAAGAAGATAATGGGTCAAGGTCAAGTCATTTACTGAATGTATTTCAATGAGACGGCTCTCTCCTCACCATTATATTCATGAGCGACGTTTTGTGCTCCTGCGCCCATTCCTTGTGGTGCTCCGTCAGGCTGGCCACCAGCGAGACGGTGGCCTTGATCAGCTGCATGGCAGCCGGCTCCAGCGACTGCTTGCTCAACAGCATGGCATCCACCAGATAGACCTCGTGTATGCCCACAAATTGCAGGGCAGTTTTCAGGAAGCATCCCTTGTGCTTGTCGTAGATGATGTTTACGAGCTCAATGCCCCGGGCATAGACGGGCCACCAGTGCTCCGGGGTCCAGCTTTCCGCATCCGCGGTGGGCTTGTTGAACTCGTACTTGGCCTGGACGAGCTCGCGCGGCGGCTGAAGGCTTAGCCACAAGTACTCGCCGATATCGCAGTGCAGAAACTCCACGGAGCAGTGGCTCTTGGCGAACACGATCAGGACGTCCAGCAGGTGGACGGTGAGCACCTGCTTGTTGTGCAGCGGCAGAGTGTGGCCGATGCAGCGTAGAAGACGTTGGAACAGGCGGACGGACACAAAGGGCAGGTCCCAGTTTCCGGGTCCTTCGCTGTGGAATATAGTGGCGACGGTCTTGAGCAGATTGAGGCACAGAATCAAAGAGTTGGTGGACCCCGTGCTGTCGGCATTCTCCACCGACTGCCTCCTGTCCAGACTGACCGAGTTCTCCATGCTCTGCAGCTCGGTGCAGATGATGCTGACCACAGAGTTGAGGAAGCCCAGGGATATGGACGCATCGCGGATGAGCAGACTTGTGTACAGATGGGCGCTCTTGGTGATGATGGCCAGGCAGGCCTCTTTGGCACGCACGTGCAGGTCCTCGTAGCAGGAGCAGATGCGGCTCATCAGCTGCAGCAACTGCTCCATCAGCTCCTGGTCCTCCTTGTCACTGTTCGTGTACGACTGATTCAGCTTCAGCAGAATGAACACATACAGCTCGGCGAGCATTATAAACGGACGCATGTCCTCCAGATAGTGCGAACGATCGACCAACACCGTCAGGCACTTTTTGGCCATCAGCTTGAACTGTGGCTCCGGGATACTCATGAGCTTTGGCTGCTTCTTCAGCATTATGACAATCATATCCTTGAACGCCTGCAGGCAGCAAATCCAAACCGGCAGCTCGTCGGAGCTCGAGCAGGCAACGGCGGGAGCCTTGGGTATGTCGAAAACATAGTTCAGCCACTGCCCAAAGTGTTTGATCTCAAAGAACTTTGTCAGTACTTCCTTGAGAGCGTCATTCTCGCCGTTGCACGTGTAGACTTCGATGGACACAATGTTCAGGATCTGGGTGTAGACGCGGATATTCGGCTCGAATTGGCAGAGGAGCGGCGAGCAGAGCTGTTGCCAGAATTTCGACTCCTTCAGCAAATCGCTGACCAGCATCTGGAGATTGTGCTTCCACAGCGAGTGAAAGATGTTCATGATCTTTTTGGGCAGGGGCTGTTGTATGGTGAGTGGCTCCTGCTCGAGGGCATCGAGGAACTCCCTCATGTAGGTAACAATGCTCTCGCCAATTGTCGGCTGACATTCCTTGCCGAAAAACGAACGCGAGCTCTTGTCCTCGCCGTAGTTTACTTTGAAAAAGGCTTCGGTCACGCCCGGCTGCTTGGCAATGCAGGCATCCACAAGCTCCAGAATGGCTATCTTGATTGAGTCGCTCTCTAGCTCGTCTGGCAGCTTCTGTATGAAGGTCAGCCTGATCTGGTCGGGCTCCATGTCGAGGCATGCGAGCAGAGACATGTTGAACTCCAAGGCAATGCGCTTCAGCAGACGACACGACAGGATGGGCAGCCATCTGTCGAAGATGTTACTCATATAACTACACACAGTCGGAATGATGCGCAGCGTGTCCCTCTGCTTCGGCTGGGTGTATATCAAGGCCTCCAGCGGCGAGAGCGATTCGTTGTGGCCATACACCGTACCCTTCAGCCGCAACAACTGCATTAGAATGCGCATCGAGAGACGCACCAGCATCATCAGGCCCTGCGGCTGCTGCTGCATCCAGTTCGTCTCCAGCTCCATGGAGTTCTGCAAGTAGGAATTGCCCACGCCCACGAACCTAACCGAAATCAGAGAGTGAATAAAGTTCTATCCGGTCTCAAATAGAAGGAAACACTCACCTGAGGAGAATTATGCCGTTCTCCAGATTCAGCAGCGAGTAGATGCACACCTTCAGGAGGAGCTCGCGGTCCTCGCTGCGCGGATTACTGCCGGTGCTGATTAGGTCGAGTATGTCGCAGATGTAGCTGAGAATCTCAAAGTAGATATTGTTCTTGTCTTGATGCGACCGGAAGTGCCAGGCTTGCACGTGGGGAAATACGTCGCGCAGCACGAAGATCAGGCCAGGGAGCTCCACCTGCATGTAGCGATTGCGCTTGAGTTTCGTGTATGTGCGCAGGAAGGCCAGGTAGGCGAGCAGGAAGTCGTAGCGTTCGAGTTTCTTCTCCACATTGTCTATGATGCAGCCAAGAAAGCGCGCCTGGAAGCAGGCGGCACTGCCACTGGCATACAGCTTGTAGTCAGCCACTGAGCCATCAGAAATGCTGGGCAGGATGCCCAAGTTGCTCACGCGCGCGAATATCTCTTCGTCCACCAGCGGCAGCAGCGCCGTGCAAACGTTTAGGCATGTGGACAATAGTCCCACTGGGGGGCACTGCACCGTCTTGAATTTGTTCAAAAGATCAATGCACATCTCGGTGGGATGCACCATCTCGGCACTGATGCCCTCCACCGATTGCGTGCACTGCACTGCGCACTCCAGAAACTTCAGGCCCGCCTCCACGCGACGTATGCGATCGTTGGTCTCAAAGTCGCCGTGCAGATGGCCCGTCTCCTTCAGCAGGCAGTTCATCTCGTGGTGCAGTGCATCGAAGAAGTTTACTTGTGTGCGGAAGTGCATGTAGCAGCCCGTGGGATGTTGTACGGCCGTGCAGCTGGTGCCCACGGGGATGGTGAAGTCTATCCGCGGATACGGGCGAACGCTGGCCGTCAATTCAAAATCATCCGTGTCCACTTCATTCAGTTTGTGCTCCCGCTCATCGTACATGAGCGCCAGTATGGGCAAAGACTCCAGCTGTTTCTTGATCTAATAATTGCGCGTATATAGAATTAGGAAACCAAGTCAGAAATATGCAGTGGCTTACATAGTTTCGCTGTCCCCCTTTGGTCAGCGCCTGTCCCAGCTTGGCCAGATTCGTAAAGTCCAGGGGAAAGTTCTCCAACAGAGTTGTGTACAGCGAGCGAGCGCCTTTATCTGCAAGCAACAGGTTGATTTAATTAATAAATCGAAATCCAATGCGAGTACGAACCTTCACGACTGCAGAAATCCTTGGCCAGCTGCGGCCAGGACAAGAGCTCGTTTAGCAACTCGTAGATGCCCTCGTGGCGGGCACAACTGCCGTCACCGTCGAAGAGATCGCACATGTAGCCCACCTGGTTGTAGACGGTCTTGCGCACAATCCGCGACAGGAGACTGTCGTCCGAGAACATCGGATGTGTGACAATCGAGTGGAGCTCGACAAAGCATTTCAGATCCACGGCGCGCTTGCCAAGATGTCGGCATCGGAGCAAACTGGATGCATCATCGGCGTCGTTGGTGCCACGCAAACGCATGAGCATCCAGAACAGGAGCATCGGCCCATGCTCTTGCCGGTGGTACATGCTGGTTATGTCCACATCAAGGCAATCGACTAGTTTCTCAATGAGCTCGCCGTTTTCGCGGGGATCCTCGAAGTCTAAGCACCTCAGCAGTAGCGCCATCTCCGAGTAGGTGAGACTCCGCCTCAATTCCTGATGGTAGGCATTGCCCTCGTCCAGGCCTTTGTGCGTGCGACCAAAAGAGTGCTGCTTGAAAACGGAAAAGAGCCTTTTGATCTGTCCCAGCCCCATTGGCAAGTGCTCGGTCATCAGTAGCAGGATGTGCAGCACTTCCCTGACCTCGCGCGAATTGCGCTCGGACCAGGCCTTCAGATTGTCGGAGGAGTGGAAGCATTCGCCCGCCGTCAGCTTTCGCGGTGGCTGCTCATTGATCAGACTCTCCAGCTGATCGAGGTACGAGTCCCGCAGCCGAGTCAGCGTTAACTTATCCACTACTTCGCGATACTCCTTGTGGTACGGGTGGTTGGGCACACTGTAGAACACGATCAGGTTCTTCACAATCTTCAGGACAATCATGCGCTCCAGGGAGTAGTAGTGTCCAATATCCGCCAGCAGCTTGGCCATAGACGTCTCTGTAGATATGAGCTGGGTTAGCAGACTGGCGGAGCCGCGGTACTCTTGGGTCAGATAGTAGCATAATATCTCCCAGCATTGTGCCGACTCGATGTTGAGCAGGTCCTGGAGTCGCTCTGTGAACGACAGCAGCTTCTCCTGCTTCTTGTCTCTCAGAAGAGCTTCCAGCTGGACGTCGGATGCACTCTTCGGCTTGAACTGCAGCACGCCGGCCTGCAGTTCACTGCACACACTCATCAGCTCTTCCCGCACCATGGCCCTTGGCGTTTCATGGTGGATGCCCGACACCATTTGCCAAAGGCGCTTCCAGTCTTTGCTGCAAGCGACAGCGGGATTAATTGTTCGGATCCGATACCAGAAGGTTGTTGGTACTTACATGACATACTTTTCCACGATGGGCATTGTCTTGCTCTCGCTTAAATAACTAAATTATAAGATTAATAACAAAATAAACAATTTCCACGCGCGATTTCGCGGCTTTGCGTGCTGCCACTTGGCACTTGGCGCTGCCAGACCACTTCGACAAATTACATATCGATAAATTGATATGAGTGCTATCGAATTTGAAATGTTCGTTACTGTTTCAAAGGAGAAATATTTTAAATACAGTAGACATTTGCAAACAATAACTAACAGAGATTTATTGCGGAATATATATTGATTGTGGAAATTACTAAATATAGAATAAGAGTTAGCATGATTACGGAGCATTTTTCAATGTTATAGAATACCTGAAAATGCAAAGTTTTATAAAGTTCAGTTACCAACCAATTTAGTAGTTACTTTAATTCTTAACTATATTTATATAGGTACATCAATGTAGTAATATAACAAGGCTAAGCCTGTTTGCTTCCAGTGCAGCCGTTCTAGAACTATTTAGGTTAGACATTCCATCTTGTTCTATGTAAACAACAGGGTGGTGGCTGCTGCTTAAAGACCTGCCAAGGTGTGCAGAGTGCGCAGATGCTGAGCCTCCCACGACCCATACACCCACCCACAGCCCAGCGCTGGTCTAGATACTCGTATGCCACACACTATGCTGTTGCTCTAGCTGCAGCTTCCACACCGCACAGATCTGAGCTCGCGAGAGAGAGGACACATGCAGAAGCGCGAGGGAGAGAGAGACAGAGAGTAGGCGCAGGCGAATTTCTGAATTTTTGCCTGGAAGCTGCGGCCAGTTCAGCCAGCCAAATGTCCTGTTAGTAACAGAAAACTATTGACAGGCGAAAGGTCTAATCCCAAAAGGCTGGCGTCCGAGAAAATAAAATTGAAAACTAAAAATTGAAACCGAGTCATAGTGATAGGACGGCAGCCTAACAGCAAATAAAATGGCTCAAGTACAATTGAATGCCGCCAATGTGCAAAGCAATGGAAATAATAACATGGACGACAATGAACGTAAGTCCCTCATACCACCTGCAACAGCAGCAAACCTGTGCACACAATAGGTACATATATGTATATACATATATGTACAAAGGTACATACACTATGTGCAACTTTCGAAACTTTCTTTCAAATTGTGTATGTGAAAGTGGGCGAGGCGAAAGGAAAGAGTCTGTGCGAAGGCTGAGGCTGCGGCTGCGGCTGCGGCTATGATGTACTTAAACCGCAGCACCATCAGCCAGAGCTAGAATATTCCCATGCTAGGATGTGGGCTGGTGGTGGGTGGTAAGGTCGCAACAAGAGAGAGACAGAGATTGAGAGAGCCCGACCCGTGTGTGCCTGTGTGTGTGTGTGTGTGCGCCTGGAAGGTGAAGGATGCTGAGAGAGTGCTGGCGCTGCCATCTGGTCGCAAAAGCAACAAGTATTTGTGGAGTGTGTGGGGGTGTCATTTGTTCATCTCCGCATTTCCGTTTCCGCTTGCAGCCTACCAAATCAGCGACACCGACTTGGATGACTTGGACGACGATTGCCTGCTGGAGGAGGCTGAGCTGCCTGGCGGCGCCAACAGCCTGGGACGTGGCCCATACGAGCGGGCCTGGACCACAGATGCCACTCGAGCCCTCATCCACATACGCGGCCCCATGGAGGGCAACTTCACGGAGGGCAGGTATGCCACACTCAGTCCAGTGATTGGTAATGTTCTTTTTTCGCTAATAGATTCCTGGCATTACAGGCAGAAGCGAACCGCCCTCTGGCTGCACTGCACCCGCCAACTGCAGCGTCTGGGATTCCGTTACAGTGCCGCCAAGGTGCAGAAGAAGTGGCACAACATCCTCATCACGTACAATAAGAATCTGACCAAGAAGTATGTGTCCGGCTATGTCCACTGGGAGTTCTTCGAGGAGATGTTCAAGTACTTGCAAGGCAAGAAGGCGGACATGTCCCAGCAGTCGAATCCGGCGCCACAGCCACAGCCACAGCAGACACAGGTCCAACCACCGAACCAGCAGGAACAGCAGCAGCAGCCGCTGCAGCAACAGCAGCAGCCACTGCAACCACAACAACAGTTACAAATGCAACTGCAGAAGCCGCAAGCAGAACTGGGCATATTCCAGGCAACGCCCGTAACCCCACAAATCACGCTGCAATTGAAGGAGGGACAGGGACAGGGACAGGGACAGCCGTACCTTACGCCGGTGGATCAGGTGCTGTTGCAGGAGCAAATGAATCTGGACAGCAAGTCCAATGACGAGTTCGACGAGGACAGCAGCAACAGTCTGTCGGAAGTGCGTGAACCGAAGCTCGAGTACGATGCGGATCAGGAGCAGGCCGCCGAGGCGGAGCGCACCAACGACAGCAGCCAGCAGCAGCTGGAGACCACCAACGGAAAGATGTTCGACATGGCCCCGTCGCATGGCCAGGCACTGACGGACAACATCTGGTGGAAGGACTACTTTGAGCGCAAGCTCGACGTGGAGCGCGAGAAAATTGATCTGCAGCGCAGCATGCAGCGGGAGCAGGTGCAGATCCAGAAGATGTCCATGGTGCAGCAGGAGCGAATCGAGCGCATGAAAATCGACGCCATAAACAGTCTGACTGGGACCCTGCAGAAACTCGTGGAGGCCAAGTGCCGGCGTGCATAGATCCTTCTTCCTATTCTTCCTAGCTCTATCCGTAATTGATGTGTAGCCTCCTTCTGAGCGTATCCTGGTCATGTGGAAATACAATTTCGGCAAACTATCAAGTACGATGCATCTGCTAGGTTGTATTTCTGGTAAGAATATTCAGCGGCTAAAACTAAACTTAGTACATGGAAAGAAGTTTTTGTATCTACAACTGCCAATCCACCTCGAAAATGCTGGCAATGGAACTCTGCATTGGATCGGGCTTCTGCAGACCATAGCTGAGGAGCCACAGGTCTGTGGAGAAGACCAAGCCCTCGCCTGCGTTGAGGCGCATCATTAGACTGGGACACAGGCCCTCGTCACACGGATCCTTGGGTCGAAGCTCCAGCTCAAAGTGTCCGCTTAACTGCTGAACAAAGATCAGGCCGCGCACATCAATCTCCGTCTGTGGTCTGCCCTGCTGGTGCGATATCAGCAGCCAGCTGGAGTAGTAGGGCTCCAGGTGCAGGGGATAGAAGTAGGGACGCTTCAGATAGAGTCGCGATGCCTTCACCGCCCGCCACTGGCAGTTGCGCAGCTGCAGGTGCCACGGAGTCGATGGCTGGGCCTGGAGAGAGCGAATCTTCTGCAGTGCCGCATCTACGCTGAAGAGCTTCCTCAGCAGGAGATTGCTGGACACGTCGCAGGCCTCGCTGGAGATCATCTCTGGCGCCGTGTCGTCTATGAGTGCCAACAGACTATCCAGATCCGTTTCCAGGTCGACATCGGGTACAATGACGGGTAGGCCACGCTCCAGGAACTGCGACTCCAGCATTGAGTAGCTGACATTGGATGCGGTGGCAATGCCCTCTACATGGGCATGAGACGGATGAGTCGTATGTGGTATTATCGAATCCCCACCCCAGCTTACCCAGCGACTCGCAGAGCACGCAATTCTCCCGCAGGGTCTCATGCCTGCCCAGAGCTGGCAACTGCTCCACCACACGCTGCTCGCCCCGCGGGATCAGGCACTTTCCATGGTAGTGTGGTGTCCAGTCCCAGTAGGGCAGCACCTGGACCAGCAGCAGCCTTCCGAAGGCACTCAGCCACCAGGCAAAGGCGTCGCAGTACAACCAAAGCAGATAAACCAGAAACAGGGGCAGCAAAAGAAGCAGCCATCGTTGCGCCTTGGCCCAGCGTATCCGCCAGATCAGAGGTTGGCATATGGTGTGCATTTCCTTGGCACCAAACTGCTGCTTCTGGCACTCCCCAAAGAACTGCTCCAGCTCCTTCTGCATGTTCTTTACCCGCAGCCGGACGCAACTTGAATGAATCCTTTGACCCCGCGGATAATGTGGTTCTTCGCCTCGCACATGCGCGCGCCCCAAGCAATTGCGTTGAGGAAATCTAATTTTCTAATTCATTGCGCGCCCAGACGTGCAACATTGCGATAAGTGGCACAAAGGATGCCCATGAATGGATGGATATTGATGCAGAAGGTTGAGCTTTAAAATTTATTGGGTCGCGTGCCCTAAATTTATGTGGGGGGGGACATTACGTGTCCTGCCTGATGATGCACACTCCTTGGAGCTTTGCAAATCGGTTGCTTGAGAGTCCTAGGGCTTCTCGGATGAAATTGGTGGACCACCGGGTTGTGGCTTGCAGTTGGTAAAGAATTCGCGCATATCGGTGCACTCTTGGTCGTTGTTTTTAATGGAGTCGGGGCAGTTTTTCATCAGGTTGTTGAACACACAGCCCATCAGATGACTGGCAGCGAAGGAGCAGATGTTCGTGCCCGGTGGCGGAGACGGGTGGGGGCCTGAAACTTTGGCCTTAATCTTGGCCTGCCTATCGGCCAACTTTTCGGCACAGGTGACGAACGCCTGCGTGGCAACATTTTTGAGATCGGTGCTATCGGCGTACACCACATTGATGTAGCTCTCGAGCTTGGTCTCGTCCAGACGCCGGTTCTCATAGATGCCCGTCTCATTGAAGAAGCACTCCATCACGCACTTGAAGGTTTAATTCAATCAGTCAACAAGTTCTCCATGGGTCTACCTTAGGGCTTACCGCTGGAGGATGATGATGGTGGTGACGACGCTTGCTTTCGACCGACGAACCGCTGGCATCAGTTGGCCGGGGTCTGGGTGTCACATCGAACGACTTGCACTTCTCCTTCAGTTCTGCGGTGATTAGATCCGGCATGGGGCAGCAGGTCTTCGGATTGACATACTTGGGCTGCTTGCTGCAGTCCACATCTCCTGAAGCGGCTGCGTTCTGTTAATGGAGCAGAGCACGTTAACTGGGGCATTCATTTCATTCGCGTGCTAGCACTCAGCTTCACGGTCATCATCAGACATACCAGACAGAACCCGACAACGACCAGTAAAAGCTTCGACCTGTTTAGCATTTTTGGTTTTGCAGCTTCAAACTATACTGAGCTACGACCTGATCGGTGCCATGAATTTATAGAACGTACAGATGCAAAAAATACTTTACTAGAGATTGATGGGCTATACTTATGTGTGTATATTCGTAGCGAATCGTGTAGCGATTGCCCCAGCGGCGTGTCCAAGTCAATTAGCTTTTTATTTGCCAATTCTGACAATTTTTTTCTGTTTTCCGTAATTATTTCAATTAGCCAAAAACCAGCAAAGGGCTCTGTTTGTCCGATTGATCTCTCACATTCACACTCCCATATATAATTCTTTGGAGGGGGGATTTCCTTAGAAACATGCACGTGCCGTTTCGCATTGTTCCGCCTGAAAGCCAAGATTATCGCTTTGATCCATGACATCAGTTCGGTTCGCAGAAACATGTTGGTTATATAATTCATATTTAAATAATTATCCAAGTCTTTTTTTATGGGATAAATTAAATAAATAATGACATTTGATGCGACAACAAAACAAACAAAAAATGGGTGCCAAAAACTAATGAGTAAACAAATTAAATGGGCCCATTATATCAGTATGATTCATGGATCTGCGCTGGCAGAAATTCGTTTTAATTTTCGCTTGCTAATCTATATAATATACAGGAACAGGGGGGTTGGGTACATCTAAGGCCAATGGAACTCCATGCAATCCTCTGTTCATCCTTCTTCACTTTTCCACCAACTGGGCACAGGCAGCTTTGGCCGTGGGATATTTGAACTGGAAACCAGAGGACAGAGCCTTCTTGGGCTGGATTTTGGCACCGCTCAACAGCAGCGCCGCCCGCTCCTTGCCAAAGATCGCATGGACCACAAACTCGGGCACATTGAAGATGCAGGGTCGGTTCAGGGCTTTGGCAAAGGCCTGAGGAGAGAGATCAGACAGTCAGAAGTTTTACGTCAAATGGGGTCCCAGAATAGCTTAGCTTACCTTGGAGAACTCCGTGCTAGTGACTATCTCCGGAGCAACGCCATTGAACACGCCCGACTCGCACTTTTCTATGATGTGCTGTATGAGGCTGCACAGGTCCAGCATGTGAATCCAGGGCATAATCTGCTGGCCAGTGCCTAGCGGACCACCAACGCCCAGCTTGAAGGGCAGCCATATGGACTCAATCATGCCGCCGCCAAGTCCAACCACTGCTCCCGTCCGCACTATTGCCTGGAAGAGAACAGAACAGAATCTAGGTAAGAATAAGATATCCCCCTCAATAAGATCTCACTGGTCACTTACACACTTGCAGTCCTGCTCGCCTCCAGTGTGGGCCGCCTCCTCCCAGGCCACACACAGGCGGGACATGTAGTCGTAGCTCTCGACCTTGTCGTCCTCTGTGTAGACCTTGGAGGCGGATGGCTTGTAATGGCTCACGCCGCAGAGGTTCACAAAAGAAGTAACTTGCGGGGCGGCGGTCAGGGCATTCGCCAAAGCCTTGGACGAGTTGATGCGGGAGTTCCACACGTTCTGCTGGAAACCGGGCGTCCATCGGCGTGACGGATCCAATACATTCTGGCCAGTGACATTGACCACGGAGTTCACGCTGTTCGGTATGCCATTCTTCTCCAGCTCGTGCCAGGTGATCCGCTTGGGCCCAGGCATGCGGGAAATGAGCGTGACATCATATCCCTTGAGGGACAGGTGCTTGGACAGGCTCTTGCCGATGTAGCCCGTGCCACCACCTGACAGCAGGATAAGCGAGAACAGTGATTAATTGACCTGGCTCCAGTCCTGGGCTCCACATTTAAACCTACCTATCAGTGTGTGCTTGGACATTTATGCAATTAGTTATATACCAAAACATTGACTAAATTTAACCCACTTAATACCCCTCTATTTAAAAAGTTGAGCACCCTTTGAGCCCTTTGTTAAACCGTGGAATATAATACTGTTTGTAAAGGCTGCTTGTAGCTCCATCCTCCTCTTTACTTACAACACAAAAACGTCCACCGACATCTTTCACCTGTAATGCGTTAAATACATATGTTAAAGCTGTATAAATTTCATGGATATATTAAATACCTGGTCAACAGTGGGATAACGTTGTATTTTTTTTGATTCAAATCGTATTTCATAATTTTGATATTCGGTTTAATATTACTAGCTAGTTGGCACTTTCAGCCCTAAACAAATAATTTTATCCGATAGATACATAAATTTTCTACAAGATTGTCAAGTTTTCAGAAGTCCTTTTTATTGCATTATTTACATAAAAAGGTTTAAACAAAAACAACATAAAACGAATATGACGTCGTTTTGTGGCGCTGCCAGACTCGTGTAATTCGTAGTTGCTGCGGGCTGCCATACCATGATATTTTGTGATATGAAATTCGTCAATTTTGATATTCTGTTTAATATTACTAGATAGTTGGCCCTCTTAGCCCTAAAAAAAAATAAAGTCATCACAAAAACGCTCTCTTCACCTCTGCAAAGAGAGCCAATTTTGAAAACCCACCACGAATTGAGAGCGAAAAATGTCAGTATTTTTTGTGCGATTAATGAGTTTCGCGGTCATTTTCAAATGTATATATATGGAAAAATAAATACTTCACTTGATTTGTTTTGTCGAGTGTGACTGGAACCACATTCATCGATTTTGAAATTGGGTTAAATATTAATAGCACATCTATTCGATGAGTGAATCAATTTTCTAAAAGAATGATTCATGTTAAGAACTCACTTTAATTTATTAAATGAGGTAAATACAAAATAAAGTTTTATATACTCCGCATTCTATATTCGCACAATCGATGCACATATCGAAAGAAAATATCAAAAAATACACATCTCTAGGTATTGCAAGACTGCTGCATTTTCCCGCACTGGAGTAATTTAAAATCAGTGGCGCGAAAAAATGCAGCGCAAAACATTTGCTGGCCCCCCCAGTAAGTGATCCAAACTGCTCGTCGCTTTAGATCGTCAATGTGGAGTAACTATACTCGTAGGTGTGTCTTGATAATGTTTGTGACGTCGCGTCCCCTGAGGCTTTTAGCGTCAGCGTCGCCAAGTGACATTCAAAGTGCAACGATAAGCGAAATAAAGGGCATGCATTAAACTTAAATGGCCAGGTTCTTATCGCATGAGGCACTGCGTTGAGCGTTTAAGGCGCACGGAGTTGGAGGAGGTGAGGAATGAGGAGAAGCCCCACCAACCACAGTCTTAATAAAAGTGCAAATTTCGCATAAAATGCCTTTCACTCCATATGCAAACATACACTAACACTACACAGAAGACCAGCCAGACGCATGTGGCTAAGTTAATGGTGGTCGACGGCGTCTAGTCACAGCCAGAGACGGCGATATAGATACGGGTAGGGAGAGAAAGGGAGGAGGAGACATGGCATGGCGTTGTGAGGCAAGTTCAAGTGCAGCAGACAACATCCTTGCTTGGGAGTGCGGCGGTGTTTTGTTTTCGGACCAAGTCATTGGAAACTCATTTGCATACACAGTGGCGGCATTAACCGACGCGTCGGGTAGGCGATACTGCAATAAAGGGGTTGACGTTGACACTACTTTCTCCTCAGCCTCACACCCACCCTAGATGTGGGCGTGGCGCCTGCCGGCTGGCGTTGCCTTTGAACCATTTTGGGAGAAAGAATTTGCATTAAGCGCAGCAATTATTGCGCTTCATTGAGTGCGAATGAAAAAGGGACAGCGATGCGAAGGACCATAATTACAGGGTCCTGGGTACATTCTTATCTAGCCCTGCAATCAGCCAGCAAGCACGTACCGTACAGCCAACTGAATAACGTCCAAAGAGCGTGCATAGCTGGGCTGGCCTGGTCTGACTGACAGTCAGTCATCAGCATCGAACGATTCCCGGTACATATCCGTTTAATGAGTTTCATCCAAAGTACTTTAATTTTCAGCTCTAGCCAGAGATGCTCTAGGAGCTGCTGACACTTGTCACCAGTGGAGCTGTCGAATGCGGGGAAAAACTTTCCAGACAAAAGAAAATATGATTGCTGATGAAAAGGATCGGCAAACGGCAGACGAGATGCGACGTCTAAAAAGTTGTCTTCTGTGCTGCTGTTTGAGTTGCACTTCCGGTGGCGGTGTGTTGAAGTGTGCCCAATACCATTACCAATACCAATGTCAGTCAGTGCACATGCAGATGCAGATGATGTGCAGATAGAGATACACGCGTGTATCTCTGCAAATACTGGAGTGGAGTGGGTGGAGTGGATGGGGAAGCTGGACAAACTTCTTTGTTTGTTTTATTGACAAACAGACAGCTTGTCAGCACACTCCTCCTGGTGCTCCTCTTGGTGGTGGTGGTGGTGCCGCTACTGCTACTCGTATCACTAACAAAGTTGCAAAGTCAATGGCACAACATGGACAAATATCCAAATATGCATCTAATAAAGGCAATGCACCCACCCACACACCCATTGCAGATGGAGTGATTTGTGTGGCATGTGGGCGAAGTGGGTGTCTGGTCTGGCTTCTTGTCGGTTGGCTCGTTTTGCACACGGCATCTCCATATTGGCACTACTGACTCCGCACAGACTTGCACAGTTTTATGTGCGGGTCGTCTCTGCTGCTCTTTTTTGTGTGTGCCTTGTGCGGTTTGTCTGACGAGGATTAGCCGGAGCTACATGGCCTGACAGTTCGGTCACTTCAGTTGCTGGATATTTCTGCTGCACATAACATAAAACTTAATTCTGTCATAATTACGATGTGGCTAACAAGTTTTGAATGTTTGTCGGCCCGAATGAAAGGCCCGGCCAGGCCAGTCCGAGCCATCAGCAGATGCCTCTATCTCCTCGGGCTTATGCAACTTGCATGCAGCTTTTTGGGTTTTTTTTTGGGTTTTTAAATAATTGAAAAGCCCCCAGAAGGGAACAAAGTTCGTGTCAATGTCGGTTCGGCTGCACACAAAGTTTTCCCTGGGTGGAAAGTTGCGTTGATTGCTCTTGACTTTAATTGAAATTTGGCCAGGCCATGCCGGCTAATTGGCAGAGCACCAATTCTGTCGGGCAGTTTGTGGTGTGGTGTGGGTGTGGTGTGGGGTTATCTCCCCATCACTTTGCACCCTGAAAATTGCACATAATTGAATTTCGCATTTCTTTGCACATTGACCTGGCCAAAGAAATTTTGTGAACCCGCGAAGGGGTTTGAGACGCGGCTTGAAGTTCTTTTTTGTTCGGAGTTTTTGCGACTTCTTTTTTTTTTTTTTTGGTGGTGTGGAGGAAAGTTCAAAAGCATCATAAACAATCTGTGGGGCAGGCAAACATATCGCGCAGACGACGATTTGTCTGCCACAAGCCAAAACTGGGTCAGACGGAGCGGCGACGCTGCCAAAAGATTGCTGTCGTCGCAGACATCGTCGTCTTGGTGGTCTGCCATCCTCAGCCTCAGTCTCCCGTCTCGGTCTCTCGGTCTCCATCCCATGCCCATTCATTGCCATTCCCTTCCCATTGATGACGTGGCAGAGGATGTGGTTGTGCTGCTCCCTAAGGTAAGGAAGGAAAACAAATAAAGTGACAATTCCAAGAGCAAGTCAGAGTATGTGGGTCAAAAGTCGTCGTGCGCCATCGTTTGAGCCATCAATTTTAACAACTTTTGCAAAACAAAATTACACTTAATGTGTGTGTTTCTGGGGAATCTGTTTTCCCCGCTGACTTTTTCCTTTCCCCCCAACCCCAACCCCAACACGCATCCTGTGGGTGTGTGTGCTCCGCCCTAATGATTCGATCCGCACGCAAATGCAGAAGTTCCGCCTAAAATTAGATGTCCAAACAGCTTTATTTTCACTCGCAGCAGCACATCAAAGGGAGACGAGACCCTGTGGAGATGCCAGGCAAATGGACTCCCATGCTCATGCTGATTAAAAGGATCTGGATGTGGATGTGGCCAGCAGATCTGACAGTTGGGATCACCCGGAGAGCAGATCAAAGGCAGCCAAGCCAACTGATTGAATATCGGAATTAAACGAATTGGATGCGAATGAGATTCTGAGGCTGAGTTTTCCCTCTGTGGCATATGAATAATGCAATTAATGCCATGGAGAAGTGAATTACTATTCATGCCATTCAGATGCTCCTCACCTACTTTCCCAGAGCCAAACTTGTTATCCATCAATATCGTAGATAGCCACAAACGGTGAATGGCTCTGACTGCTGCACTGCTGCACCTGCAATGCTGCAAGTCTTGCTGGCGGCAATATCGATGTGTACAGCACATTGAATGCCATACTCGTACAAGTGGAGCTACTTTTACTGCCCCATTGAGCCGCTCACAGAAGCGGGCAGTGCAACGAGGGGTTGTGCACCCTCCTCCAGATTGAGATGCACTTTCAATTGCAGCAAGCAGAACCCGCCGGCCGTCATCAATCAAAAGCTGCCAAAGGGAAGGAGCAGCAGCCGGCTCTTGCATGTGTCCTGGCAAATTGTCGCTAAACATGTCGCTGGCAGCTGACCAGCTGCCTGCCCACAGAAATCCTTGTAAATTACTTTAATTATTTAACCATTTTTATATCATGCTTAAGTGACAAACCTTCTCGCTCCCTGCGATCCAGTCCTGGCGGCAGGTGAACTCACCAGCAACTATTCACACCTGCATCGGCCCGGACCTACGTGCAATTATTGACGGGGCGAGGGGAGAGCATTGTAATAAAACCTGAGTCCAGTGGAATGGTATGCAGCGACCTAAAATTAATTAGGCTTTTAATATTTATGCTTTTTATGTTTTGCATTTGGTGGCGACAGGCCGCCAAGGACACGGACACGGACTGCGGGACTCCTGGGCAGGATTCAGGTTCGTGTATGCGGGCAATTAATAAGACAGAAATGTGACCGTAAATATAAATTCCCCCCAGCTCCCAGAGTCGCTCTAGACATTGAGTAAAGGGTGAAAGATTCATATCTACATATTTACTAGCCCATACAAACCCTGAGTCCCATTGGGGGGGTTGCATTTTCCAATATCTCTAGGACAAAGAGTTCTGTATATTAAAAGTAGAATGTCCAAATTTCAGCAGCGCATAGACAAGTCCGACATGGAATCTCTCTCTCTCTCTCTGTGGTGGGGAGCAGCCAACATCCATTCAACTTTCAGTCTCGTTGGGGCCTCCGCCTCCGGTGACTGCTGACTCTCTGCTGATGCTATTCTTCATCCTCGTCCAACTTGACAGCGTCAGAAATTGTAAGTTATTCATCCAATTGAAAGCAACTAACACAATTCCTGAAGCTATTGCCAGCAGAATACAAAAAACTTGCATTGAATTGTTGCAGTGCGATAACAACTTTCGAGCCGAGCACTAGAATGCTAATGCTGTCAAGGGGATCAAGAAATTCCATAAATACTCTTTTGGAAGAGATCAAATAATACCCAACTAAAAAGCATAGATTCAGAGAATAGATAAATACAATAATATGCAATACTATGTAGTTAATTGGATAATAACTACATACATATTTAAATCCACAGCAAGCTGTTTAATACGTTTTGTAATGCCGTTTCTGGCAGGGTAGCGTATATGAGCATTCATAAATAAGCTGGCAGCGACTTTCACTTGCCTCCGTCTCGGCTATCGATACACAACAATCGTTGCAATCGACTCTGAAGCAGCACACTGAAAACAGAAATTAGCGAACCGCAAACAAGACTTCAAATTACCTGCACATTCATCCCAAATCAGATACACAAGACAATCCATTCGCACCAGCCTGTCAGTTGCTGGCGAGCGAGGAATGGGAAAGAAGGAGAGCGAGGAGAAGAAGGAGTAGCAATCAAAGGCGAAGCATAAGAAAGGGTATCGATTGCAATCGACAGTTGCATTGGACGTGAGGACCACAGAAACAGTTAATCAAATCACAGAGCGAGAGCGAGAGGCGAGAGAGGGACTGAGCAACTTAACTGCCAGCAAGGTATAATTATGCAAGGTGGGTACATGCCCACACTCTCGAACTTGATCGAACGCTCCCTCCGCTTTCTGGTTATCTCTCGTGAGTGCACTCTCTGGCCGGCAGGAGCCGCACCTTTAATTCATAAGCTTTGAATGCAACGAGCCGCACATCCGCATCTTCTGTTGGTGCCGTGGCACACTTCCAATGGCATTCATTTTGCCTCTGCTGGCGGCCCCCTAATTAAAATGCAACATAAAGGAACATGAGCATTGATAAATGGGGGCCCAAGTCTCGTCGTACAGTGCGGTACGCAACGGAAATGTGCGTTAATCCAATTAAACGGCCGATTTGCATGGGCCAACTGTACGAATGTGAAAATGTTGTTCATTTAAATTGGAAACGCCGCTGCTCAAGAAGAGAGAGAGCTGCAGCTGCAGTGGCAGCTGCTGAAGCTTTCCGGCCGGAGTTGCAGCCACTTGAGTTCCGGATTTAGGACAATGTCCTGGCGGCCCGTCTGGGCTGCTTCGTTTGTTTTGGCCGCTCTCTTCTTTGTTCGTGTTGCTTAGGCCCCGGGGCCAGGCAGTGTTGTTCCGTACCGAACAGTGGAGCAGACTATGCTGTGCCCTCCACTGCCATGTAAACATCCATTAAGCAGCAGCGATTTGCACAAATCAAAGTCAGCAGCAGGCAAATGGGACTGGCTTGGCTGGGCTCCTTGTGGCACGTGCCGGGACGGATGATAACATGGAACACCCAGATTCGAGCACTTGCAAATAAACTGCAACGTAATGCGGCCCATTGTAGCAGAGCAAACAGTGTGTAGTCGTTGCCGTCGCCGTCGCCACCCCGGGGAGCAATATCCATCCAAGCAGAGACAGAGCGAGAAAGAGATACAGCAGCGAGTGAGGGGGCAGATGGGGACTTGGGACTCTACCCTCTTAAAAGTTTAACTTGTTCAATTTGCATGAGTCGCGGCCAAAAGGTATAAACGATACTTTGCCTAAAAACTTTTGCCCATAAAGCAGCAACAGCAACAAGGAAAACAGAGCTGCCAACAGGCGACAGAGAAGACAGACACATGGACAGGGGAATAATGGGCACGCGTCCTTTGTCCCCGGCACGACACACATTCGGTGTGGTCCGTCTCCGTCCCGTGCCGTCTCGTCCCATCCGTTGGCTTTTAAGCCGCCACCAAAGCAAATAGACACGTGCGCCCCAGGCTAAAAGGGAGAGAGCGTAGTACTGAGGAGTGGGCAGCGGAGTGTTGCGGGTGTTGGAGGGCGAGCTCTGAGGGGGGGGAGAAAATGTTGTTGATGGATTGTTTACAGGAACTCGAGTCCTTTGAAAACGGTTTCTAATCGCCATTCGGTCGTCTTGCAGGGCTTCTCCGTTGACCTTGTGGACTGCAGCCCCAGCACCCTGATTCAGGGATGGAATGCAAATATCACATGCTGTGGAGCATCCGTATATCCCTCCTGCGGTGATTTCGGTGTGACAATTAATTTTGTGCAGCTCATTAGGCTTGAAAACTTCTCTGGAAGAGAAGGGCGCTGAAAATATGGATTTGAAAATTTCCATTTTGGCCCATTTTGGCTTTATGCCGCTACAAATTGGGGTTAAATGGGTCTTGGGTCTCTGGTCCTCAATGGTTTTACATAGTTGGAGTGCATAAAAGTTAATGGTTCCGCCAGATAGCTAATTTTCGGTAGTGGAATGAGCTGCGTACGGAACGGAACGGCACAAGGTGTGTGTGTGTGGGGATGGCAACCCTGAATCTCACCTCCAGTGCAACTCTGCATGCGAAAAATAATACGGAAAAAGCAAGTCATTTGTTTGACATCTTAAAAGTTTCTTATTTTATTTGTCGCAATGGAGAAACCTTCCACGTCGCACAAAAAGTTACCAAAGAAGAATGAATTACCCAAGAAGCGAACTTCAAGGTCCAAAAAGGAGTCGCTGTCTTTGGAGAAAATCCAAGCAGAAGAGGATGCGAGCCAACAGCAATCTGACGCTGAGACTGAGGTTGAGGTTGACAGCGATGAGGGCGAGTCGGGACAGCAGGAGGCCGCCAGTGGCGTCAGCTCCATCTTTGCGGAAATGAAGGAAAAGGACGACGAGGGAAACAACGGCAAGGAGAAATTTACTGAGGAGGATGTCAAGCGCATGGAGGGTGAGGCACAGAGAGAGGTCAGCAAAGGTGATTAAAGCACTTATTGTATGTGGTAAATATATTCCCCAGAACTGAGTCGCATGCCCCTTGCCGCCATGGCCGCCCACATCCAGGCCCTGGACACGGAGCTGTACGAATTGAGCCAGCGCGAGACCCGTGAGCTGTCCCGCAGCAAGCACCTGCGCATCTTCTCCAACTACCGACGCCGCAGCAAGTGAACGAGTAGGGGACAAATCATCTAAAGCATCTACTTACACAGCTGTGTGTACTTTGATGGTATCGAAACGAATAAATGGTTGTCAGCATACCCATAGCATAGCTCCACGATGAGGGAGACACAGAGTCAAAGCCAAAGTCGCATGAAATCCGCTTACAGGGAGGGCTTAATTTCTCGAAATGGACATCCACATCCGCCCACGACTCCCACGACTCCACCTCGTCTAGGTTTATTTGCTGGCCAAACACGCAAATGCACATCGAATGACGGCCGCCCCATGGCCCAGTCTGCCTCTGGGATTGGGCATTAATCGTGCATTAGAGTCTGGCTGGAGGCATGTGACCGTGTCCATGCTGTGGCATCCGCCAGGGAGCAGGGAGCAGGGCGCCCAGAGACCCAGGGCTTCCTGTGCGCTTAGCGGACCCTCTGCTTTGTCTTTCTACTCGTAGTTTTGGGCTCGGAGTTCGGTTTCCGATTGGCTTGGGGGGGTGGGAGTTTTGGGTGGTTTCCGGGTAACTCTATTCAACGCAAATAGTCGCCAGTTTATCACATGGATTTGTGCTAATTTTTCCATTTTCTCGCTCACTTGGGACCCGACTGGAGTTTGGACAGCTCTCTCGGATATCCCCCCATAGCCAGCCAGCCAGAGTGTTCTTAAGTTGATTAAATTTCAAGCGATTTGATTCGATTTTCAATTATAGAAACACCGAACACCAATTGCCCCAAATCCATTATGCTAAATAAACACCAACTCCGTCCACATCTCTCCTGTTCCCCTCCCCTCTGTTGCTTTTGCGTGTCAGTTATCCAAAAACTCGGGGAAATCCCACGGAAATATTTGGGGGAAGTCTGTCTGTCTCTCAGCTTTTTGATGCCCGTCCAAACAACTTCCTGCCTAACCCCTTGTGACTCCCAGTCTGTCCGTCTGTCTGGATGTCTGGATGTTTGCTATGTCGGCGCAGGAGTACTATGATGATGCAGTCAGTGTCCCTCTCCACCTCATTGCTGTCGTTGTTGGTCGTTGTCGTTGTCGCTTGGTGGTTGCGGGTGCAAATGTTCATCAGCTTCAAAGGGATTCCTCATCGTCGTCAGTTTTTGGAGATTTGGGGTTTGTCAAAACACGGCATTACCCACACCCACACCCACAGCCCCCCACCCTTGACTACAGTTGAATGCAACATGTGTCCAGGATTTGCGTCTGTTAATTTCCACCCCCCACAAACGGGCGAAGAGAGCTTAAGGGTGGAACGCCGCACCGCCTAATAGAATATGCTCATTATGGGATTCCGCGCTGAGTGTGTTTCGGTGTTTTCAGGCATAACTCAAACTAAATTATTATAAATGAATTCATAATCCTTCTCCACATCCATCCACTGGCATAGTTATGTTATGTACTCGTATGTATGTCCAAGGGGGAGATTTCCTTCGGAATGAATGATAAATATGCAAATACAAGATGTCCTCGAGAGCGTGAAAGGATTCGCCATTTGCCACAGAGAAACAGAGAGAGAGAGAGAGAGAGAGAGAGAGAGAGCTTACACTGATTGTATTTACTGCGTAGATTTTTATTACTGGGGATGGAAATATAAAAGGTCTATAAATGGGTCTTCAAATTACAGAAACTTTGGATGTTCATGGGCTTTATACACCATGAAGTTTTGAATGAGAAAAGCTATGCAGCTAGTTGTGATTTATTACCCCTCATACTCCTATTTCTTACTTATTTGTACATGTCCAATGCACCCTATCAGTCTCGTACCGCACTGTAGTGTATATGTAGTATGTATGGCCGTGTTGAGAAAGATGTTTTTGCCTGGGAATGCATTTAATTACCTGCCACCAAAGCGACTACATCTAATTATAGTCGAGTGCCAGGGACTGCCACATATTGTATGATAATTTATGCAAATCTCATCACAAATCATATCAATTTCGCTTGCAGTTAATTGCAGCAGCAGCAGCAGCAGCAGGTGCCTCCCCCACGTGCCCCACTCCCTTGTTATATGTTCAATGTGGAAAAAGAGCATTAAATTAGCCAAAATGCAGCATAAATTTCACACAGAAACAGAGCGTACGATGGAGCCAAAGTGCGTTCCCATAGCAAATGCCTGGGCGCCATTGTCTTCAGCCACTGGATGGGGCAGACACAAAGGAAGACCCAGCAATGTCTGTGCCGCCAAGTTCGCTCAACTCTGCCACACACAGAAACACACAGCAGCAGCAGCAGCAGAAATAGCAACAGGAAGAGAGAGGGAATACGAGTACGGGCAAGCAATCCTCCATAGCAAGACAAAGGATAAAAGGATCCTTTTTTGAACTGTTTATCAAACACAAGTCGGAGTCATCTTTGGTGTTAATGTTTCTTAGTTGTTTGTCATGTGGCAGCACCGGGTTGTTCTCTCTCTCACCTCACCTGATGGTATCCCTCTACCGTCTTCCCCTTGGAGGTCGTTTCTGTTCAAATATTCCATTCGAATGGCTCACTTGGGCGCAGTTTTGACGAGCTCCAGCTCTCCTCTTGCTCGGGGGGTAGGTTAAAAAACTCATTAGGCGAATCCTTGGGCGACGGAAATTAAATAAAACCCCATTAGGCGCTCTATTTGCTTCCTTGTCGTGAATGTCGGGGATGGTGGGACCGGCACTGGGGAACGCTCCACACTTAATTTATGGCCACGCATTTCGTTCTCGTTCCGACATTTCAGCACAGAACAAAATCTAATTATGATAGATAGTTCCAAACGAACTACGAGTGCACCCTCCGCCTCGCCTCCACCACTGTCAGAGTATCAGCGAGGGTGCTGCAACGGAGGCGCAGGAGGCGACGCTGTCGTGCAGGTGCACTCTGTCACTGTATGGCCGCCGGGTGCCGGGTGCCGGTTGCCTAGGCCGGGTGTCAACCGAAGATCTGCCTTAATAAAGATGGGAGATGTGCGGGCACTCCTTCGCTCGGAAGGGGGCGGCGTCACGTCTATATCTTAACACATTGCTGATCAAAAGAATCCGAAAATGCTTTGATTTCACAGCTCTCTCTCTCTCTCTTTTGAGTCTTTTTTGACTTTTCGACTTGTCGACTTCCGCATATGCTCCACGTTCCACCTCCAGCAGATTGGGTTCGGGAGAAACCGAAATGAAATTAAATTTTTTGTCAACAATTTTGGTAAATGTTAACTTTGCTAATTTGCATAGACCGCAGTAACCCCGTCGACCGCAGTTTCCCCAACACGCCGGAAAACCGAACCCCAAAAGCAACCCCAAAAAATGGTAACAGCAGCAGCAGATACGAGTATTTAAGGAAAACTCCGGGGGAATGCAACATTTTGGAGGGTTTGGGTTTGGGTTCGGTCCTGCCGGATCCTGGCGCTGCCGCGTCTCACTTTCACTGCCACAATGTCTGCCCCCTGGTTGGTCCCTCTGTCCTGCCATTCGTAATCCCCAACAAACGCCGCCAGACACGTGCAATTTGTGTGAGTATCAGTGTGTGTGTGTGTGTGTGTGCAGACAGGACGAAGAAAAGGACTTCCAAGACCAGACCGAAAACAGACGCCCAGCCCCACGTTCTGCGCCACAAATTGTAATGCAATGTTGCTGGCAGGACTGTTGCTACTGCTACTGCTATCCCGCAGTGGAAAAGGAAGTGTATGCGATAATGATGGATTGTTTACAACAATGCAAAGGTCCTGTGGCAGCCGTTCCCGTCCCCGTCCCCGACACACACCGCCTCACTCCTCACTCCCGGCTCCTGTTGCAGGCAGGGTGTGCATTTGAGCGTGTCCCCATTGTGAATTTTGAATAAGTTTTTGGCTAAATGATTTGATTACTATGCCATGGCGGCAAGATGCGGTGAGTGAGGGCGACGGATGGGCAGCCGCCACTGTTGCCGTCTAATGAGCGTTGGCCGGGGGGGTGGCTGGGTGGAGGCGTCGCGTTATTACTACGATGAATAGCAAAAATACAAAAAAAAACGGCAGTAGCAGCTTTTTTAAGCGCCGTCTTATACACCCGCGTCACTCTTCTACACAAACTCTCTAAATATTTCTCGCTCTCAATCTGTCACCTAATCAGCTGTTCGCTTACGGCGAAATAGAGTCTCTCTCCCTTTTGTGCTCTCTCTCCCTTTTTCAATGTTAACAATTATCTAGTGGAATAGTGCAAATAGGGTATAGAAACTTCTATACTCAACGAAAAAACGCACCCTGCAACCGGTTTGCAAGCAACAACAGAGACCCGAGACCAGAGTTAGAGAGCGAGCCAACTACGCCGCTCTCTCTCTCTCGTTTCGCTTCACGAACGCATTTGTACCACATATATTCTTGTTCAGGGCGAATTGCCCATTTCATACGTCACAATTCGTCGCCGTTATTCGAAACGAACGGTTGTTGCGCGCGCGTCCAAAGCAAATTCAAACAAAAAACTCCAAAAATTCGCTAAAATTCGCTAAAATGCACGTTTAGCGTCTCATTGTTTAACAATTACTGCCAGTGTGAGTGCAACGAAATAGAAAAAGAAATGGCAAATATTTATACTGAAATAAAATACAACTAAAAATCGAAAACTTGTGGTTTGTTTTGTGCGCTGAGTGTGGTGTATTGTCATATGTGCCACAGCGGCAGACAATTTTGCGCTTTTTTGTGCGTGTGGACAGCTGCAAAAAAATAAATGCAGCAGCATTCGAAACGTGGCCAGAAGCGGCAGGCAGACACAAGCAGCAAATAAACAAAAGCGGCTAAAACACACATACACGACGCACACACACATACAAACACCTGCTGCCGTTCGCCGGTTTGCCGATAAATAAAAGAAAAATAGAAAAGAAAAGAAAAGAAGAAAAGAAAAGTGCAGAGAGAGAGATTTCTATTGTGATTATTTTCCCGTACATTTGCCGCTGTGCTGGAGAGAAAAGAGAAAAGGGATCCCAATCCCAATTGCTAGAAAAGTAAGTTGTTGTTATCTTTAGCCATTGGACAAGTTCAATGACTTAATGCCAGACTTAATGAGTTTTCACCCTTTAACCCCTGCCACTGCTTCTGCTCCACTGATAACAGCGCTCCAGCCAGCGCCAGGCGACAAAAACCCCATTTACATATAATTATCTCTCGCTCAGTCTCTGCC